CAGCTCTGGACTCCCTGCTCACCCAGCTCTGGACTCCTGCTCAGCTCGTCACTGCCAGCAGCTCTGGACTGCTGCTCACCTCCCTCCCCTTCACTGCCAGCAGCTCTGGACTCCCGGCTCACCTCCCTCCCCCCCCTCACTGCCCGCAGCTCTGGACTCCCTGCTCACCTCCCCTCCCCTCTCACTGCCAGCAGCTCTGGACTCCCTGCTCACCCAGCTCTGGACTCCCTGCTCAGCTCGTCACTGCCAGCAGCTCTGGACTGCCTGCTCACTCACCCCTCTCTCTGTCAGCTTCTCTAGACTACCTGACCACCCCTGCTCACCCCCGCCCTCTGACCGCAGCTGTGGCACCCCTGCTCTCCTTTCCCCCTCACTGCCTGACAGCCTTTCACACACAGGAAGCAAACCTTTAAGTCCCGCTTGGGCTGCTCGGCTGTGCCTGAATAACAGGTCACATGCTTCCTGTGTGTAAAGGCTGTCAGCCGGAGCAGGATTACCAGGGTGGTTTCTCTCCAGACTGATCCTCCTGGCTGCCTGCTTTATATGTTCAGCTGCTGTGAGTGGAAAAACAGTGAAGTGCTGTTCCAGGCCCCCAGCGTGAGTGTGTTTCTGCAGCACTGTGGATCCCCAGCTGCCACAGCCCGCCGGAAACAGTCTGGCCCTTGTGGCGCCCCCCACCTTCTGGCGCCGGGGTGCAGTGCACCCCGTGCACCCGCCCAGGATCGGCCCTGACCATATGTTCTCAAAGGCAACATTACCAAACTGGCAAATTTAAATGTGAAAAAAAATTAAATGTAAGCCTTATATTTGACTCTCTAACTTTCCAAAACACCATAAAACTTGTACATGGGGGTACTGTTATTCTCGGGAGACTTCACTGAACACAAACATTAGTGTTTCAAGACAGTAAAACTTATTATAACAATAATATCATCAGTAAAAGTTTCATCCGTGTGTAAAAAATGCAAAAAAAAGTCACGTTACTGAAAATATCTTCATTGTAATACAATTTATCATTTTGAAACACTAATATTTGTGTTCAGCGAAGTCTCCCAAGTAAAACAGTACCCCCCCATGTACAGGTTTTATGGTGTCTTGGAAAGTTACAGGATTAAATATAGTGCTTGCGAATTAAATTCTCTGCACTTTCTGTCTGGGTTGTCAGGCAGGTCAATCAAATTTTAATTAATAAAATCACATAATTATGTTAAAAGATTACTTAAATATACAGTAGAATTTTAATATATATATATATATATACATATATATGTATTTAAATTCTACATGTATACGTATGTAATCATTTATATATTTATATATATTTGTGGTTATTTGTATTTTAGATATATATATATATATAGAATGTCATTCTAAATGTATTTTGTTACCAAAATATATATTAATAACAAAATACAGTTACAATGAAATTACATATGTATATATAATTTATTTTCCTTTTTTTGTTAAATATTTTATTTATTTATTTTATTATTGTAATTATACGTATATATAAATATAATATATATTATATGTATATAAAATATATATATCTTATATATATATATATAGCTTAATTCTAAGTGTATTTTAATACAAAATATCTGTACTTATATTAATATTAAAATACACTACGTATGACGTTACATATGTATAAGATGTATATATTGTTGTGGATCCAAATGTTGATCTTTGTTATATTCAGAGGAAGCCCAAATTGTTGTTACAAGTGCACTTGGAGAAGCGAGAATTAGACACCAGACACCTGTTGGTATTCAAAATAAGCCTCTGCCGTTTTATTCATCAGCTGGGTTTTATACATTAAAAAGTAAGTGCTTACGTGCAAATACTCATGGAACAGTAATAGGAAAGGAGTACAGATAAGACATAGGGGTGAACGTCATGTACACATAATAAATAAGTTCCAAGGTAAGAAAGAACAAAAAGATTAGAGTAGAGACATCTCAGGTGGGGGCTCTCTGCTCCCGGAACTAGACGTATATGGTCTTAAGTGTTGTGTTAAGCATCAAGCATTTCATGAGTCCAAGTTAGCCAATTTTAATATAGGATATCATTATATGACACCTATAAGCTTGAGCCTTGGAATCAAGATAAGTTTTATCACTATATATTATATATATAAAATATATATATATTTTATATATATAAATACACTTTTAATTTTTTTAACATGCTTAATAATAAAATATTTTTATACTACCCACCAGCAGGGGGACTGTCTGACAGCCCAGACAGTCTCCCTGCTGGCAGATCCACAGCCAGCTATTGCGGCCGTGTGATCGCTCTTTGAGAGCGATCACATGGCCCCAGGAGGCCTGATTTGGGGGGCCGAAGAGGATCGTGGTGGAGGTAAGTACCGCGGAGCTCCTGGGGGCTTAAGACGTTATAGCGTTCTATGCCGCCACAATGGCTTTAAAGCCCATTATAATGGGGACGGCATAGAACGCCATAATGACTTGAAAGGGTTAATACATAGTCCTGAGGTTGGTTACAGACTAGTTACAAGTGTCCAGTACTTTCATTCAAGTGCTTTTGTGAAATGAAATATTTTCCTCCTGTGGAAATATAAGGCATAGATACAATTTTCCCAGGTTACATTCTTAAGATTATGGACTATCCGACCTCAAGGAGCTATCTCCTCTCATCTTTCTACATATAAGCTTTGTTTCTATATATTATCTGTTTGAAATAAATGGTAGTTACTACCAGTGGCCTTACAAATATATATGGAAAAAGACAGAGAAGGGCTTCACCACATAAAATTAAACAGATAGTACTGTGAATCTCATTCCACAGTGCAAATTGTCACATATAGAAGTGTTTCTTTATCAAGAAGTAGATGCAACTGTGGTTTCTAAGTTCTTTATGCTTGGGTGATGTGGAAGATCTGAGTGTCTTTAGTCTCCGTATGTGGGTAGAAGAAAGAAAAAGCTTATATTACAATATGTCAAGACTTGATAGGCAATGTGTAGATAATAGTGATATTGCACTCACATGTAAGAGAGCTATGACCAGCTCTAATGTGTATCGCATATAGTGGTATAATCCCCATTTATGGCATATGATGAAGGTCGTTCACAGCAGGTAGTTGTCCAAGTATTCAGAGAGGGAATAAAAATAGCCACAAATAGTGCTCTCAAGTAGACAATAAAAACTGTATAAAAGTAAACAAAATTGTACTCACAAGTGTAGCGCACGCTCACTGCTCTATGATGATAGCGTGGGTGGTATGATCCCCACCTGGGATTTTCTTGAGAGTAGAGATGATAAAGTAGGATAAGAAAAAATAAAATAAATAAAATGCCAGGAAAAAGTTGTTGAAATAAAAAGGTGATGGTACAATAAATTATTGTAAAACCAAAATCCTTTATTCAATCAGATAGTAATGTCCATAACGCGTTTCGTCACAACAGACTTTTTTTTAAAATGGATTAGAGCATACAACCTGGCTAATAGGCTTTAAATAGGGGTAAGAACACTTAAAAATGGCGCTAAAACTGTGTGCACCAATCACAATAATAAAATGATAATATTAATAAAAATAAATAAATAAGTAGTTAGTATTGAAGAATATAAGTTAAAGAGACATTTAATATTCAATGACATGAAAAATGAGGGCAGGAAAGGATTAAAGGACCACTATAGTGCCAGGAAAACATACTCGTTTTCCAGGCACTATAGTGCCCTGAGGGTGCCCCTACCCTCAGGGTCCCCCTCCCGCCGGGCTTTAGGGGTGGAAGGGGTTAAATTTACCTCTTTTTCCAGCGCCGGGCGGGGGACTCTCCTCCTCCTCTCCTCCTCCTTCTCGCCCTCATTGGCAGAATGCGCATGCGCGGCATGAGCCGCGCGCGCATTCAGCCAGTCCATAGGAAAGCATTCTCAATGCTTTCCTATGGACGCAGCAGGCATCTTCTCACTGTAAAAATCACAGTGAAAAGCGCGGGAGCGCCTCTAGCGGCTGTCAATGAGATGGAGGCTGGATTAACCCTATTATAAACACAGCAATTTCTCTGAAACTGCTATATTTATAGAAGAAATAGTTAATCCTAGCTGGACCTGGCACCCAGACCACTTCGTTAAGCTGAAGTGGTCTGGGTGCCTATAGTGGTCCTTTAAGTAATTAAAAAGAAAATGATCATGTTCAGTGCTTTGAAATAGTCCTGGTTCCTGGAGTCTGTACCATTCTGGGGAAACAAAATAAATTTCTCCAATAATAGCAGTACATTATTAGTCGCGTTCGTTGGCATTAACATTCAGTCCCTACAACATGACTCTCCTCATGGGCAACCTCATGTCAGACAGCCAGTGTGTTTTGTGAGGGCTTCGCTGTCTGGTCACTAGTAACTGGTCCATTCCCCTATTCTCCGTCCTACATTCTTGCTTGCCAATGTTGGGCGTTATCCAGTAGCCTCGTCGTTATGGACATCCCTGCGACACCAAGAACAATCTAACAAAGTATATTATTTTGATATTGTGTAATTGTTAACGAAGAGCTTGCTAATGGCCAAACCTGTATCGTGTACCTAATTTAATGGTGTCCCTTCCCAAAGAATTAAAGAACCTCTGCTCTATATAACCAGTCTGTGAGGAGAATCATCTCCAGCCTGACATACATGTCTTTACCTACAGGGAGAGGTTTGATATTGTATCACCCAAGCATTATCCTACATACAGAATGCCTCTCAGGGGGTTCATTAAGAATGTACACTAGGTGCACAGATAAGGAAAGGCATGAATTAGAGAGCCCCAGGTAAGAATATGTTTTTTGTTTTTTTTGAGTTCTTGTTTTTCCTCAGACTAATGAATGAGCCGCCCAGCTCCGGGTAAATGACAAGGTGTGGTCAATGATGACTGATAAGACAACCTGACCACGGCTCGCTCCACCAGTTCTTAACTATATAATGGGTGGGCGTGGCCACATCCGTGATGGGCGTGGCCACATCCGTGAGAGGCGTGTTACACCTCAGTGATGAGCTGGGAACCTTTAGCTGGGGGGCGGGGCCGGATCCCGGAAGTGCTGTGTGTGTATGTGTCAGGCTGCAGGCGGCCAGGAGAGTGAGCAGAGTGCTTAGACCGTGTGTGAGTATGACTCTGTTGTATACACTATTATTGGATCTCTTTGCCTTGTGTACATATCTAAAATTCAATAACCGCTGCTTAGCCTTTGATATCCTGGCAGCTGGGGGGAACTACAGTTCCAATATCCTGCTAAGCTAGCTAAAAGCATCATGGGATATGTAGTCCTCCACAATTGGAGTGACAAAGGCTTGCTGTCACTACAACAAACAATGTGTGCTTGCCACATTCACCTTGCACGTCACATGGCTCACAGTACTGTTTGCATATGGCTAAATACAGTGATCTTTGGAGTGTATACACACATTGTTGGGTTGTTGATGACTCACATTAATCATTGTTTATATTTTATGATCTGCTTTAAAGTTAGGATTGCTTTTCAAAAGTGAAAAGTATTGTAATTTGCACATGATAACTATTTCCCTCACAGGGACTTGAATTTTGTTGCTGATGAGAATGGATTGCTGCTCTGAATCTAAGGTGGTGCCCCCACCCCCTTATAGCACAACCTGATTGGTGTAATTCTCTGTGGGGCCATGGGTTAGTACCCATGTGCCAAGTTGTTTGTGTGTGTGTGTGTGTGTGTGTGTGTGTGTGTGTGTACATAAAAGTACTCTCTGTTTCTAGTTTAAAGTGTACCTCCTGCTGGATTTTTACTGCGGTTTAGGAATGAGCTACTTAGATGGTTGAATCGTTTTTTTAAAGAGCTTTTAAAATGAAGGGGTTATAGAAGGAAAAGCAGGGAGAACGATAGTGTAATGGCACGCATGCTTTTAATTTTTATGCAGGTGAAGCCAAGTTTGTCTTGTTTGCAAACACATCTTTATAAATTATTGTATTGGGCAAATTCAAAAATGTATCACGGTCAAAATAACAAAAATAAAACACATTTCGCCCATGAGGCCTTATTCATGGCTGAAATGTAAAATGTTTTAAATTTGTTCCTTACATTGTAAGGTTTCTACCTGTAGTTGATATTGATGATTGGCGGTCCTCTACCTCAGTGCTCAAACTTATTTATTATTTGTGTTTAGCACTCTATCTACATTCTGTATTTATATTGCATTGCTATGAAGCTGCCGGTGACCTTTTTATGTCCGCTGCTCGCACTCTTACTGCTAACTCGTGCAACTTCTCGTGGGTAGCTCTGTTCTTTTGAAACAGTCTCTCTACCCCAGTCAGACTCTTCAATCATTTAAGAAGTCTTCAATCATTTAAGAAGTACCTCAAAACCCACCTGAGAGATGCTTTTGGCCACGCAGAGTAACTTTTATTTTACAAACCTGTTTCTTGCTCTCTTAAAGGGATGCACTCAATTCTCGTCCCCCAGTTCTGTAACTTTTCAACCTTGTTATCCTACTGGATGCCCACCTTTTCTAGATTGTAAGCTAGTTTTGAGCAGGGTCCTCCTCAACCTGTTTTTCCTGTAACATTTTGTAATTGTCTAATTTACTGTTCCATTTTCCCCATTATAATATTGTAACGCTCTACAGAATATGTTGGTGCTATATAAATGCCAATAATAGTAACATAGATGTTTACAGCACAATTTAGGTATGTGAGACTGAGTTGTTTTCGTGTAAAGTTTATTTTTATATGCTTTTTAAAATTCCCCACTTTAGTATTACGGATATTGTTTTCCATTATATTTGCCAGTGAAAAAGATTAAATTTAACGTGCTTAGCAGCACTTTGTTTGAGAAATGGAAATTTCTGACCACAGAAATTCCCCCAAACATAGACCTGCTCTCTAGCGCATCCTCACTTACAGACCACTTCGTTTGAGTCGTTGGAATGGAACTCGGATGGTAAGTGAGGATTGTCTGTACACAAATTATTCTCATCCTCCTTCAGATCAATGGTTGAGGGAGAAAATATGAGTTCTGCAGATGGGCCCTTGGGTGCGTGGAAGTTTTATTTTTGGTCTCAGAATTCATTTGTTTTTATACTGTATATATCTTTTTTCATTTTTCTTTCCTGTCTACATAATTTGCCAAATCCTCTCAAAGAGAAACAAAATTGCTACTTTTATTTATCTAATTTTGTTATATGGAAATGCTTTCATAGTGTTCCATGTCGGCAAGGTCAGTTGTAAGTAATTCTATGAAAAGTAGGTCTGGGGCAACACTGTGATCTTATCTCCATGCCACTTTTGTTGACTTTGAGAAATTTCTGTAAGTTGACTTGACCCTTTACCTTTCATTCAAAGACGTACTTAAGTTAGAGGCGGCATCTTCTTTCTTTAGTCCAACTAGTCTGCCAGGTTCCATAGATGGCCGATGTCAATAGGATCTGCGGCATAATAAGTAGAGATACCAAAGATCTATTGCACGTTGCTCAAGTAGATCCCTGTGATGATATCAAAGGCTTTTATTAACTAATGGAAAAATCGCTAAGCAATGCAGCAGAAAATCCTAATTTTGTTATTTTACCTAAGACAAAGTAGTCTCGTGTAATTTATGAGTATCTCCGCCCAGACTTTTTTTTTTGGCTGTTCAATCACAGACTTATGCAGCTTAATGAGAAGTCTTTACAAGGCAGGTGCCCTGAGCAATTGCCTCTTGAGTTTAGCTCCACTGAGCCATTCAAACCAGGAAGTAACAGGACCTCTTGTCTGCTTAAAAGCCACGTGGGTGTAAACAAGGTCAATTTATAAAAGAGTCAATTTCTATTGAAATCTGCACTTTTTGCAAATTGAAAAAAAGGATACACTCTTCACAAGTGCTTTAGGGGTCTGGAGTGTCCCTTTAACATGCTACAATTGCAGTGAAATACCTATAGTCATATCTTCATTAACTTGCACACGCAAGTCTGCTTTAAATGGACACTCCAGGCACCCAGACCACTTCTGTCCATTGGAGTGGTCTGGGTGCCAACTCCCACTACCCTTAACCCTGCAACTGTAATTATTGCAGTTTTTATAAACTGCAATGATTACCTTGCAGGAATAACACCTCCTCTAGTGGCTCTCTACTAGACAGCCACTAGAGGGCACTTCCTGATTCATAGCACAGATTTTCCTCCAGCGTCACTAAAATCCCCATAGGAAAGCATTTTCAATGGAGAGGTCTAATGAATGCGCATTAGACCTCACCCGCCGGATGACTGGACGGGGAGGAGCGTGGGCGGACCAATAAGCAGTGGCGAGGAACATCTTTGCTGCCTCTGGTAAGTCACTGAAGGGGTTTTGACCCCTTCAGCAACCGGAGGTGGGAGGGAGAGGGGACCTGCAGTGCCAGGAAAACTGATTGTTTTCTTGGCACTGGAGTGTCCCTTTAATAAAAACTGAATGGTATTGTCCAATGTCTGGAGATATTTTCCTCTGAAGCGATTTTATAATCTGTAGAGAAGCTTTCTATATACAATATAGAGCCAAATCAATTTAAGTCAAATCAAGTGCTAACTCCAGTCTTCTTAGTTTAATAGTACTTCTAACTTATTCCCACTACAGATAAGACTGTAATCTCCAAGGTAAGATTTGAATGCCTTTCAAAATCTGTTTAACCCCTTAAGGACTGGACTGTTTTTGCGATGTTGTACATTTGCAACCAGGAATATTTTTACACTTTTCTGGTGTTTGTGTTTAGCTGTTATTTTCCGCTCTCTCATTTACTGTTCCCATACAAATTATATATTGTTTTTTTCAGGACAAAAGGGGCTTTCTTTACATACCATTATTTATATAATCTCATGTATTTTAATTTAAAAAAAATAAAAAATATGATGAAAAATTGAAAAAAATACATGTTTTTTGACTTTTACTTGAAAAATCTTTTACTCATCTACAAAAGCGAATGAAAAAAACAGCTAAATAGATTCAAAATTTTGTCCTGAGTTTAAAAATACCCAGTGTTTACATGCTTTTTTGCTTTTTTTTGCAAGTTATAGGGCTATAGGTACAAGTAGGATATGGCGGTTTCAAAACAAAATTTTTTAAATGTATCAATAGTGACATTGTAACACTATTATCTGTCATAAATCTCTGGAAAACACTCCACATGTATATATTTTTTTTAAAGTAGACAACCCAGGGTATTCATCTAAGGATATTTTGACACTTTCTATGCAGCCATTTTACCACAAGTCTTTGCCAAACTTTGCATAGATAGTTGTTTTTTTTGTTTTTTTTCACATACATTGCAATTCAGGTATAAACTTACAGATCCTGTTATGTCTTGCTGCCAAATAACACGCCAATATGTGTTCAGCAACATCTCCTGAGTACAGTGATACCACCCATGCATAGGCTTGTCGGATTGTTTGGGGGCTAAAAGGCCACATTTGGCAGGTGCGCATATCCATTTTTCAACTTGGAATTTTGACATGTAGTCAACCTGCGCACATGTCCTATTTGGGACATTTGTAAGGCCGGCCAATGTATTTTACCCCCACCAAACCATATATTTTTGGAAAGTAGACACCCTAGGGTATTTCAAATGGTGGTTTTTTAACACTTTCCATGCACTAATTCTACCACCAGACATTGTCAAACATTTAGGTAGTCATTTTTTGTGTGTTTTTTTTCACACACATTGTACTTTAGGCATGAATTAACAAATCGTGTTATGTGTCACTGCCAAACAACACACCAATATGTGTTCAGCAACATCTCCTGAGTACAGTGATACCACCCATGCATAGGCTTGTCGGATTGTTTGGGGGCTAAAAGGCCACATTTGGCAGGTGCGCATATCCATTTTTCAACTTGGAATTTTGACATGTAGTCAACCTGCGCACATGTCCTATTTGGGACATTTGTAAGGCCGGCCAATGTATTTTACCCCCACCAAACCATATATTTTTGGAAAGTAGACACCCTAGGGTATTTCAAATGGTGGTTTTTTAACACTTTCCATGCACTAATTCTACCACCAGACATTGTCAAACATTTAGGTAGTCATTTTTTGTGTGTTTTTTTCACACACATTGTACTTTAGGCATGAATTAACAAATCGTGTTATGTGTCACTGCCAAACAACACGCCAATATGTGTTCAGCAACATCTCCTGAGTACAGTGATACCACCCATGCATAGGCTTGTCGGATTGTTTGGGGGCTAAAAGGCCACATTTGGCAGGTGCGCATATCCATTTTTCAACTTGGAATTTTGACATGTAGTCAACCTGCGCACATGTCCTATTTGGGACATTTGTAAGGCCGGCCAATGTATTTTACCCCCACCAAACCATATATTTTTGGAAAGTAGACACCCTAGGGTATTTCAAATGGTGGTTTTTTAACACTTTCCATGCACTAATTCTACCACCAGACATTGTCAAACATTTAGGTAGTCATTTTTTGTGTGTTTTTTTTCACACACATTGTACTTTAGGCATGAATTAACAAATCGTGTTATGTGTCACTGCCAAACAACACACCAATATGTGTTCAGCAACATCTCCTGAGTACAGTGATACCACCCATGCATAGGCTTGTCGGATTGTTTGGGGGCTAAAAGGCCACATTTGGCAGGTGCGCATATCCATTTTTCAACTTGGAATTTTGACATGTAGTCAACCTGCGCACATGTCCTATTTGGGACATTTGTAAGGCCGGCCAATGTATTTTACCCCCACCAAACCATATATTTTTGGAAAGTAGACACCCTAGGGTATTTCAAATGGTGGTTTTTTAACACTTTCCATGCACTAATTCTACCACCAGACATTGTCAAACATTTAGGTAGTCATTTTTTGTGTGTTTTTTTTCACACACATTGTACTTTAGGCATGAATTAACAAATCGTGTTATGTGTCACTGCCAAACAACACGCCAATATGTGTTCAGCAACATCTCCTGAGTACAGTGATACCACCCATGCATAGGCTTGTCGGATTGTTTGGGGGCTAAAAGGCCACATTTGGCAGGTGCGCATATCCATTTTTCAACTTGGAATTTTGACATGTAGTAAACCAGCGCCCCTGTCCTATTTGGGCCAATGTATTTTACCCCCATCAAACCATATATTTTTGAAAAGTAGACAACTCAGGGTATTTTAAATGGTGGTAGTTTAATACTTTTCATGCAATAATTCTACCACCAGCCTTTGGCAAACTTTTGGGTAGTAATTTTCTTCATGTTTTTTTACACATACATTGTACTTTAGGCATGAATTAACAGATCCTGTTATGTATCACTGCCAAACAACACCCCAATATGTGTTCAGCAACATCTCCTGAGTACAGTGACATCACCCATGCATAGGTTTGCTGGGTTGTTTGGGGGCTAAAAGGCCACATTCAAGACTTGTACATATCAGTTTTTCAACTTGATATATAGGTATGCTTGGCCTATCTTCAGTTTGGCATATTTTTGCATCCCCCCGTTAATGTTAACATCATGAAAGTTTATATTTTTATAAAGTAGACATTCCAGAGTATTGTATATGAGGTGTTTTCACATCCTTCCCCCAACCATTGTGCTAAACAAATTTCAGAGAACGTGCATGGTGGTAATTTTTTAATTCTGCTTTTTATGCACACGTCATCTGGTTTTGGCCAGCCAGTTATATGTTACTACCATAAAACTTTTTTAACCAAATGTGCAGGTATCAAATGCACCTTTAGCAGCATTCTCTAAACTAACTCCTGCAAAAAGAATCTAATTGGAGATTTGGGGGGAAGGAAACTGACTAACTAAAATTTGCTGTTTTCAAAAGAAAAAAAAACAGTGTCCTTTTCCTTTTTTATAACAGACCCAGCAACATTTCAGGGGATTTGTTTTTTTTTTGCAGTTGGCAGTATCTTAAAAATAAAATGTCTGGACTCCTTTGGCACCGTTGTTGGAACTTGACCATCTCCATAAATTATTGTGGAAATCAGCTTGAACTAAAATTGGAGAAAGGTGGTTCTTTCTGAATTCATTTTTTTTTAAAGAGTAAAAATTAATTATGTGTTGCTACTTGCATCAGGTAGATAGCCACCTTTTTATACCAGGCTTTTGTCTTTCTTAAGATAAGATATGGCTGCATCAGCTGATCAGCCAAATCAACACCCCCCATGTGCCTGTTATAAGCCCTGATGCACACCGGTTTTGTCTGTACCCTGCCTCGGACAGTGACGTCTGACATGCCCTCGTTATGGATGGTTGTTAGCATGTGAACATCCTTCCTGTCCTTAAATTTTATTGCAAGCACTTTAGCTTTGTGCAGACCTTTACATTCACTTTTTTTTTTTTTTTTGGCCTCTATTAAAGGTCTGGGGAAATCCTTGGCATATCTTCTCACACTGCCACAGGCCAGTATCTAGAAACCCTAAAGAGTTTGAAACAAACAGACAATGCTATAAAAATTGTCCACATAAAGGTGGTAACCCTTATTGAACAAGGGGATCAGTAAGTCAAAAACAAGTTTCCCGCTTGTCCCCAGAGAGTCAGTACAGCCAGGAGGGTCCAGTTGACCATCTTTCCCCTCATATATACGAAAGGCAAATGTATAGCCACTTTCGCTCTCGCACAGTTTGTAGAATTTTACGCCATACCTAAAGCGCTTTGAGAGGATGTATTGTTTGAATCCTAATCTCCCTTTATATTTCATTAACGATTCATCAATAGATACATTTTTTTGAGGAGTATAAACTTCAGTAAATTTGTGCTGAAGATGGTCTACCAGTGGGTGTATTTTATGAAGCCTATCATATTGGGTGTGATCTCTGGGGTGACAGAGGGTATTGTCATTGAAATGTAAGTATCTCAGCAGCAGCTCAAATCTTGTTCTAGACATGGTTTGAGAGTACACTCGACTAGAACAGATTGGGTTGGTGCTCCAGTAAGAGCAAATTGATGGCTTCTTTATAATCCCCATGAGAATTGTAAGAGCCCAGAATTTTTTAAGTTCAGCGACATCTGTGGGATGCCAAGCACACTCCTCCCTGACTGCATAGCTATCTGGATTGGTATCAATAAATTGGGTAGCATATAAATTAGTCTGGGGAGCAATCTCCTCCCACATGGTATCCCCTAAAAATAGCTCCATATATTGCATAGGGAGAAGTCATCCACATTGACATTAATGCCTGTGTTGGCACTAAAAGGGGTGATTTGGGGCTCAGCTAACTGTGGAGAAACCTGTTCCTCCTCCACATTCGGCGTAGCAGAGAAAGCACAGCTTCTTTTTGCAGCCAGCTCACACACAGATGACATGTCAGAAAACTGACCTGGGTCAAAATCGGACGCAGTGTCAGTGGCGTCAGAGTCTGGCTAACACAGAGTTAAAAAACAGACTAAATGAGACTAAAACTTCTGTTAGCAGCAATCTGTAAACTAACTCCTGCAAAAAGAATCTAACTGGAGATTTGGGGGAAGGATACTGACTAACAGAAATTTGCTGCTTTCAAAATAAACAAAAAAAAAAAATCAGGAACAAGTATTATAAAAATGTATTTTCTGTGTGGTAGACCTTAAAACATTCTCCAATGCACAGTCCAGGTTTTGTATGGCAATCGGGACAGTGAAAAGGGGTGTCTGTCCTTTTCCCTTTTTTATAACAGACCCGGCAATGTTTCTGGGGGTTTCTTTTTTTTGGTGTTGGCGGTATCTTAAAAATAAAATGTCTAGACGACTCTTGCACTGTCGTTGGAACTTGACCATCTCCATAAATTATTGTGGAAATCAGCTTGAGCTGAAATTGGAGATAGGTGGTTCTTCCTGGATTAATTTTTTTAAAAAGTAAAAATGAATTATGTGTTGCTACTTGCAACAGGTAGATAGCCACCTTTTTATACCAGGCTTTTGTCTTTCTTAAGATAAGATAAGGCTGCATCAGCTGATCAGCCAAATCAACACCCCCCATGTGCCTGTTATAAGCCCTGATGCACACCGGTTTTGTCTGTACCCTGCCTCGGACAGTGACGTCTGACATGCCCTCGTTATGGATGGTTGTTATCATGTGAACATCCTTCCTGTCCTTAAATTTTAGCGCAAGCAGTTCAGCCTTGCGCAGAGCTTTGCATTCCCCTTTTTTTAATTTGGCCTCTATGAGAGGTCTGGGAAAATCCTTGGCATTTCTTCTTACAGTGCCGCAGGCCAGTGTCTGTAAACTATAAAGAATTTTAAACAAGTGGACACTGCTGTAAAAATTGTCCACATAAAGGTGGTAACCCTTATTGAACAAAGGGTTCAGTAGGTCCCAAACAAGTTTCCCAGTTGTCCCCAGAGAGTCAGGACAGCCAGGAGGGTTCAGTTGAGCATCTTTCCCCTCGTATACACGGAAGGCAAATGTGTAGCCACTTTCGCTCTCGCAAAGTTTGTATACTTTAATGCCATACCTAGACCGCTTTGAGGGGATATATTGTTTGAACCCTAATCTCCCTTTGTATTTCATAAGGGATTCATTGATGGATAAAGTTTGTTGGGGAGTATAAACTTCAGAAAATCTGTTCTGAAGATGGTCTACCAGTGGGCGTATTTTATAAAGCCTATCATATTCGGGGTGATCTCTGGGGTGACAGAGCGTATTGTCGTTAAAATGTAAGTATCTGAGCAGCAGCTCATATCTTGGTCTAGGCATTGTTTGGGAGAATATAGGAGTCGAACAAATTGGGTTGGTGCTCCAGTAAGACCGGATTGATGGCTTTTTTATTATCCCCATGAGCATGGTAAGAGCCCAGAATGTTTTAAGTTCAGGGACATCTGTGGGATGCCAAGCATGCTCCCTGACTGTATAGCTACCTGGATTGGTCTCAATAAATTGGCTAGCGTATAAATTAGTCTGGGAAGCAATCTCCTCCCAGATGGTATCCCCTAAAAATAACTCCATATATTGTATAGGGGAGAAGTCAACCACATTCACATTAATGCCTGCGTTGGCACTAAAAGGGGGGATGTTGGGCTCAGCTAACTGTGGAGGTACCCAGTCCTCCTCCACATTCAGCGTAGCAGGGGAAGCACAGCTTCTTTTAGCAGCTGGCTCACTCACAGATGACATGTCACTAGACGTGCCGCTAAACTGACCTGGGTCAAAATCGGACGCAGTGTCAGTGGCGTCAGAGTCTGACGCCAAGAAGGCATATGCCTCCTCCAAGCTGTACATGCGCTGCATGTTTCACACCAACAGACTAAACTAACAAAATACTAAACACAATATTTTTTTTTTTTATTTTTTTTTTTGTAAAACACTAAAACAGACTAAAACAGACTAAAACAGTAATCCCTAAACTAACTCCTGTTAGAAGAATCTAATGGAGATTTGGGGGAAGGAAACTGACTGACTACGACAGGCTATGACAGACTACGACAGACTACGACAGACTACGACAGACTACGACAGACTAAAACAGACTAAAACAGACTAAAACAGACTACGACAGTCTAAGACAGTCTAAGACAGTCTAAGACACAGATTTTTTAAAATAAAGTTAACCCTTAAGGGCAAAAAAAAAAATACAGACAGTAAAAATGCACTGTCTGTAACAGATCTGGCAGGGAAGGGGTTAAAATAGGATTTTAATTAACTGAAGATACTTTTTATTTTTCACAGGAACAGCTGCTGCAACAAACTATCAGGATCTCTGTCTCTCTCCTCTCACAAAACGCTACAGAGAGGAGAGAGGCAGAGATCAGTGTCAAAGTGAGTGTTTGTAACACCCACTTTGACACCAGCCAATTGTGAGCGATCGCGGATCGCTCACATGCCGCAATTGGCTGTTACTATCTGCCTGGGATGCCGGGCAGATAGTAACAACGGGATTTCAGCGGAAGCGATCTCTGATCGCTCCCGCCGCCCGTTTTCCGTTAGGACGGTTCAGGACCGTCCTCGGTCGGCAACGCAAAAATGCCGAGGACGGTCCTGAACCGTCATGCGTCCTTAAGGGGTTAAACCACACCTGCTCTACACCCATCTTCTTGTACCATGAAGAAATATCTATGGGTAAAGCGTAACCGTCCAAAACAACTAATGCAGTTAACATTCTTCTTTATTGTTCTTGTGCAATCAACACAATAGAACATTTTTTTTCTTGTGCTTTTTTTGTTTTTGAAACCTGCAAATCTTTTTCATTTTGGGTGTGTTGTTTGTTTGGGTGGCACTTTCTTCTGTGTATTTAATGCTGCATTTATTGTCAAACACACACACACACCTAGCATGTACTTTTTTGTGTACATTTAACAGGCTTCTCTCTTGAAAAATTGTTTTCTTGAGCTTTACAAATTAGCAATTTTGATTATTACTATATATTAAAAAAGAAACAAAAACACTACCTTTTCAAGAACACCCCTCCTTCCATCAGCTTTATTGTAGTGCTTGAGCAATGTCCATTCCAGCAGTTGTTCCTCCAGACATGATGACATCTGGTCTAATCCAGCGCTTCTTATAGTGAAGAACTGAATACTTTGTCAGCTGGCCACAGTTAGTGACCCCAGACTGACTATTGTACTGTATGCAACCCTCAAATCGAATGCTGCATACAGCCTTTTAAATTAATTGAGTTTACTGTTGAGCAGTTGCGCTCCACAAAGATGACTTTTGACGTGTAGCATGTCTATGGGAGGACACCAGAATCGTAATAGACCCTGACAGGGTCTTCCTGCATGCAGACCTTGTTTGGTGCTGGGTCACAGTGTAAAAGGAAATTGCAGGTGATTTTGCTTTTACATCCAGTAGATGGCGACAACATACCACTCTCTGTTAAGAATTCTGCTTAGAAGAATAATAATCTGCTGAAATCAGTAATGGAATTCCTCCAGTGACATGAAAAGAGGGAATCTTAAAAACACTTTCTAGGATTATGATTGGGGTTAGGATTAGGGGTCGTATTAAGACTGATACTTGGCAAATATATACATAAGGGGTATTGTATTCAGGAGATGTTGCTGAATACAGTTAAGCTACTTTTATTACAGTGGCCCAGATGGTATTTAAGAAAAAATAAAAAAGATGCAAAAATGCAATGTGTATGGCATACCAAACAACATTTTAAATGAACACTTTTGTTTCAGGAGTGTGAGTGGTGGTGTGGCCAAGGAAGGAGCTGTTCTGAGAAATTTTAGGGGACAATAAAATTAATGTAATGCATTTATAAAGTAATTTAGGTATGTGGAATCTTAAAATGCACCAGAGACCCATCTTCAATTTGCCTTTAAAAAAAAAAATGAACTAAGCATGTTGTTGTTGTTGTTGTTGTTGTTAATATTATTTATATAGTGCCAGCAAATTCCATAGCGCTTTACAATGTAATCAAAGGGGGAGATTTAACAATAAATGAGACAATTACAAAAACTTACAGGAACAATAGGTTGAAGAGGGCACTGCTTAAATTAGCTTATAGTCTATAGGAGGGGGGGCATAAAACCCGACCGGAGGTAAACCAAGAGAGACCGTGTCACAGAGACCGAGTGATTGTAGAGTTTGGATAAGGAGAACATGGTCAACAGTGTCAAAGGCAGCAGAGCGGTCAAGAAGAATTAGTATGGAGTAGTGGCCTTTGGATTTACCTGCGATTAGGTCATTAGTAACTTTGATAGGAGCAGTCTCAGTAGAGTGGAGGGGGCAGAAGCCAGACTGAAGAGGGTCAAGGAGAGCGTTGGAATTGAGGAAACAAGTCAGACGGGTAAAGTCTTTCCAGAAGCTTTGAGGAAAAAGGGAGCAGGGATATGGAACGAGAGTTAGAAAGGGAGGACGGGTCAAGAGATGTGGTTTTTTTGTTTTGTTTTTTTTTTTAAGATGCATGTTTAAGGGCAGCAGGGACAACACCAGAAGAGAGAGAGCAGTTGAATATGTGTGTTAAGGAAGGCACAAGAGGAGAGAGATCTGAGAAGGTTAGACTGGACAGGATCAAGCAAGGAAGTGGTGGGGCGAGAGGAAAAGAGAAGCGCAGCCACCTCTTGTTCACTAGTCTGGGAGAAAGTGAGAAGGGTAGGATAGGCATCATCCAGGTGTGGTTGAGAAATAGAGGGACGAGGTGGTTGGAATTCTTTCCTTAGCTGTTCAGTCTTGTCAGTAAAGTAGCATGCAAAGCTATCGGCTGTAAGGTTAGTTTGGGGGGTGGCAACAGCACGGCAAAAAAGGGAGTTAAAGGTATTAAAAGAAACGCCTTGGAATAGCATGAGCTAATGAGAGAGGAAGAGTATGACTGATTGGCAAGGGCTGTGTTGTATGAACACAGCATGATTTTGTAGTGGAGGAAGTCCAACTGGGTGCGTGACTTCCTCCAGCAGTGTTAAGCAGAACGAGAGCATCTCTGCAGTTAGCGTGTTGATTTAGTGGGCCACGGATGGGAGCATGTTCTCCTCAAGGTGCATGTTTGGAGTGGGGATACAGCGTCCAGGGCAGAGGTGAGGGTAGTGTTATATGAGGAGATGGCCAGTAAGAGACAGGAGAAAGTAGGGATGGATAGAAGTTGTGAATCAATATTAGCCGATAGCTGCTGGAGATCAATATAATTCAATTTCTTCTTAGTTGAGGTAGGTTAGGGTAAGGGGCTATTGAGAGCAAAGGATAAGAGGTGCTGATCTGAGAGAGGGAATGGTGTGTTGCAGAGATTAAAGATTGTACATTCATGACAGAAAATAAGATCAAGGGTATTGCAAGCTACATGGGTGGGGGACTTGGCCCTCTGCGATTGCCCAAGGGAGGAGGTCATTGAAAGTAGTTTTGAGGCTGAGGACAAGGGCAGGTTAATGTGAATGTTGAAGTTCCCAAGAATTACGGATGGAATATTAGGAGAGGAAGTAGGGAAGCCAAGCAGCAAAGTGGTCAAGTAAGAGGAGAGGGGAACCAGGGGGACTATGGATAACGGCAATGTTGGCAGAGATGGTTTTGAAAAGATGAATTTAATGCATTTCAAATGAGAGAGAGGGAAGGTGGGGCGGGGGGGGGGGGTAGAAGTTTGAAGGAACAGTTAGGTGAGAGCAGAAACCCTACACCAGGGCTCAACAAATCCCAGGCGCCATGGCGACTATGAATTTTGCCCTGGCTCCTGGGATTGGTCAGCCCGTTACCACCACCTCCTCCTGTCTCAGCCCCTGTGTAGCGCTCTGTGTGCCGGTGTACCGGCAGGAAGTGAACTGTAATGACTTTCTCCCGGCACTGATGCTGCACAGCAGGACACCTGGCAAAGCTAGCAGGACACCTGCCAAAATCGTCTCCTGCCAAAAATGCCCCCACTTCACAGACCCGACCGACAGCCCACATGTGTGTCTGTCTGTGTGTCTGTCTGTGTGTCTGTCTGTGTGTCTGTCTGTGTGTCTGTGTGTCTGACTGTGTGTCTGACTGTGTGTCTGTCAGTAAATGTATGTTTAGGTCACCAGTCCCCCTCCAATCACATGGGAATGGGGTTTTTACTCACCAGTTTTCCAACACCGTGCCAGTCTCGCCGCAGCTGGCCAGCACCTATAACTGAGATTATCAATTACCATTTAACATCTGCTCATGGTGAAGCATTACAGCAGTGCATATCTATGGGGAACGTTCAGCGCTGCATATTGTGCAGCACTGAAATAGGAGACACTTTAGTGGCTGTTGGAATGACTGCCACTAGAGGTGTTACTAGGCAGCAAGGAAAAAGCAGAGCTTACATAGAAAAACCTACAGGGACAGGTTATAGGCACCAGAGTTACTAAACTAAGCCGTAGTGTTTCTGGTGACTAGAGGGTCCCCTTAAGAATTGTATTTTTTTTATGCTGAAAAAATCTGGCTCCCATTTTTTAGCTGGCTCCTTGATTAAAAGCAAATTTGTCAAGCCCTGCTCTACACCACCACCTTTGATTTCAGAGTGTCTTGGGGTGTGGGAAAATTGAAGACCACCAAAGGATAGAGAGACGGGGTAGCGGTGTCAGAGGGAGAGAGCCATGTTTCAGTTACGGCTAGTAAGTCTAGGGAACGAGAGATGAAAAGGTCGTGCACGGCAGTTGATTTAGTAACACTGAAAACAAGCGTGCATTCCAGAGGGCAGAATGGAAGGAGGATTTAAAGGAAGGGTGACATGAGATAGGTATGAGATTATTGTGATTCCTGGAGTTTTTGATAAGGTTTTGTGAGATGGTTTGTATTTAGAGGTTTTAGAAAGGGTTGGTGGAGATAGGCTGGAAAGGTATAAGTAGAGTGCATGGGATGAATAGAGAGGGGAGGGAAGTAAAGTGAGAGCAATGAAAATGATGTCCGCAGAGACAGGTGAGCAGAGGGATAAAGAGATTTTGCTAATTAGAGAGGTGAGGTGAAAGTAAAGAATCTAAGGGAGAGCATTCTCTAAGGAGAATAAAGGAGTTGCTATTATAAAGAAGGAAAATTAGGATTTTTAGTTGTGCAAAATTAGATGAGGTGGGATCTTAGTCACATGAGAGGGGTCAGAGATTGCAGATAGGGAGTGTGATAGTTGAGCAGGTTATGAGAGTTTAACACCTAATTAGTGTGTTTGGAAAGTCAGGTAATTTGTGCTATCTATAAATGTAGTGAGTTCCTTGGGGTGGGCAGGAAGCCATCCAAAAGAGCTACCTCTGCTTAAGGCTGTAGCTTGTCTTGGTAGCTGTGAGTCCTGGGAGCTAATGTTCTATTTGGTACCCAGGCTGCAAGAAAGGATCTGGGTTAGATCAAACAGCAAATTAAGGGTGGGGAAGACACAGATATTGAGGTGAGAAATGGGAGTTAATGAAAAAGAAAATAAAGAACAGAAGATAAAGTATTTGAGATTTAAAGATATAAGGGTAGGTCCTAAATGGTGAACATAAATTTACATGACTATCAGCACAATACTAACCAAATAAACAATTATCAAAACAAGGGTTGAGTATGGAAGGTACAAAGCTAACAATTAAAGGGCCACTATAGGCACCCAGACCACTTCAGCTCAATGAAGTGGTCTGGGTGCCAGGTCCCTCTAGGGTTAACCCTGCAGCTGTAAACATAGTAATTTCAGCTAGATTCAGGGACATCGGCGCTGGATTCAGGGAAGTCACTGAAGGTGTTTTAACCCCTTTAGCGGGATGGGATGGGGAGTGGGAGGGAGAGGGGTACTGCAGGGTCCTGCAGTGCCAGGAAAATGGATATGTTTTCCTGGCACTGGAGAGTGACTCTAAAGCTGTAGCTTGTCTTGGTAGCTGTGAGTCCTAGGAGCTAATGTTCTGTTTGGGACCCAAGCTCTGCCTAAGGCTGTAGCTTATCTTGGTAGCTGTGAGTTTTGGTAGCTAATTCAGTTCTGTATTTTCACAAAAACTTGACAAGGACGTGAGGGGACAGGCCTGGCTTTATATTGTCTGGCCAAGTGCAAGATAAAATGTGTGGCCATTGTTTTACTGAGAGTTTGCAGAGTATAATTTAATGGGTTTGATCATAGTGGCACATATCAGATTTACAAAATGAGAGCTTGGGGGATGCTCCATAGACAAAGCCATTTTTTTTTTCTCTCAGCCATCACTAGTGACAGCTGGTGGAAATGCCAAAACCTGATGGTGGTAACACTTACATTTTGTCAAGTGCAGGAAATATACGCATACAAAAGTAATCCCTCCTTTGTCTTGGGATATCTTTTGACTGCTTTGGCATTTCACTGAAATTCCAACACAGCCAATGTGAGTATTTCATAGAGATTTTATAAATCCGTTAAATATAGAATACATAACATATCAGAGCAGTAAACGCCAAATGCTTTCATTTCTTTAAGGGACACTATTGTCACTAGAACCACTACAACTTAGTGAAATGGTTCTGAGGCATATAGCCTGTCACTGCAGTCTGAGCATTGTAAATGTTGCCTTTACTCTGTAAAGTAATACAATGTGAGCAGGATATTGCTTTGCTTGCAGAGGACTTTAGATAGATTGGGAGACTGGGCACTAAAATGGCAGTCATTTTAATGTAGAGAAATTACGCAGTTCAGAGTAAAGAATGCACAAGCAACTTACACCCTAAATGGTAGTGAATTGGTGAAAACAACAGAGAAGGAGGATTTGGAAAATGTTATAGACAACAAATTAGGTAGCCATATGCAATGTCAATCTGTAGTTGTTAAGGCCAGTATACCTAAGACACTAGGTTATGCATTTAGGCTGGAAGAAAGGAGATTTAATCTAGGGCAAAGAAACTTTTTTATTTACAGTATGAACTACAAGGATTCACTGAAGAGGTGGTTTTATCAGTCCATACCAGCGGTTCCCAAACTGTGTGCCCAGTGGTGTATTTTGCTTTGGTGTCTCCCTAGGCATGACTAAACCTGGGCACCCCCCTAATTTAATTTTGCCCCATCCATACCGGTCAAGGCCACACCGCTTCCTGATTAAGAACCCACCCTTTCCTCCTTGCACTCCTTTTCCTACTCCTTTTAGTTACCTATAGTGCCCATCTCCCTCTTGCTCTCCACCCTTACTCAGCACTGAAGGTTAAAACTCCTTCAGTCAATTTCCTGAATCCAGCACCGATGTCCCTCATCGATGGGTCAGGCTCGTCCTCCGCGCTTGCATTACGCTTCCCCATAGGAAAGCATTGTATCAATTCTTTCCTAAGAGGATTTAGCAGACACTGGATGTCCTCAAACACAGTGTTTTTGGTCACCTAACCACCCAGAAGGAGTTAACCCCCAAGGTAATTATTGCAGTTTCTAAGAAACTGCAATAGCTAAATTTGCAGGGTTAAAGGGGAGTGGGACATTGCACCCAGACCACTTCAATGAGCTGAAGTGGTCTGGGTGTCTATTGTGTCCCTTTAAGCACACACTCATTGGCAGATACACACACACACACACACAATGACAGACACAGACTTGCTAATTTGACACACACACATTCCCCAACAAAGACTGACAGATACACACTGACAGTCGCGCACACACACTCAATGACAAATACAGATTCACTAATCTGACACACATTCATTTGTTGACAGACACACACACATGCACACTGAGAGACACGAATTGAAAGACACAAACTGATAGTCAAACAGACTTAATGACAGACTCTCGCTGATTTGACAGACTCACAAACAGACACACTCATACACACACTCACAGACACACTGACAGATACACTCCTACATACACTCAGTCACACACACACTTACACTCACAGAAACACACACTGCAAAAACATAACATAGAAGGATATAATTTCAATTTAGTGGGATAATAGCTGCTTGATCCAAGGAGATATATGACTGCTATTTTGTGGTCAAGAAATAATTTTTTCCTAGTTTGTTGCAAAATTGGAAGCGTTTCAGACTGGGTTTTTTCCCTTCTTTTGGATCAACACCAAAAACACATGTGAGGAAGACTGAACTTGATGGACCCAAGTCTCTTTCAGCTATGTAAGATCAGGTTGCTGACTGTGTTTGTGTATTTGTGTGCGTTGTTTACCCGGGGAAGAGATGGCAGCAGGATGTACTATAGGAAGAAGGTAGGCCATGCGGAGCCAGTGTTATGTATAGGGCAATGACAGCCTGGAAACCTTGGATCCTGGCATTCATGTGAATGTTACTATGCTACGTACCACTTAGCTAGAGATTGTCGCAGAGATTGTCGCACCCCCCATTCATGCCACTCTGCAAAAACTGTTCAGGAATTGTTTGAGTAACAATGGAAATAGTTTAAGATGTTGCCTTGGCTTCCAAATATCCAAGGACTTACTTTGATAGAGCATCTGTGGGACATTAATTGTTCTTCAGTAAACATACATAAAGAGATTAAGGAAAGCAGGAAGTGTTAACAGCATAAGTCCATGGCAGTTTAAGGGTATCCAGACTATGTGTAAATTTTGCAGCCTAACAATGACACCTAGAATTTTAAAGTTGAGTTGTGATACAGGAGTTAAAGCGACATGTGCATCGGTTGTATTTATATGTATAATTTTGTATGTTCTTATGTATATTGTGTATACTTGTACATATACACTACTTGTGTATGCGTACCTGTGTGTGTGTCTGTGTATACAGTATGTATCATAAATCCAGAATGATGTAGTCCACGTTTATATGGAGAACTCTTACGATACAATAGGATGGAGAAGCTCTTCACTTGAGATTCGGTGGAGCATATGGGGAGAAAGAACACAAAGAAATGCTCCACCGAATCTCAAGTGAAGAGCTTCTCCATCCTATTGTATCGTAAGAGTTCTCCATATAAACGTGGACTACATCATTCTGGATTTATGATAAGTCATTTGGACTATTACTATTATCTTTACCGTTTGTTTTGAGGCGCACCCTTTTCTGTTTTGTGTTATTTTATGTTCAGTGAAAAAAGTATAATTTCTCATATAACATTTCGTATTAGTTATTCTACTGCGCATGTCTCTCACATCTTCTCGAAACTATGCAGGGTTTTTTTGTGAGTGAAAAAAGGGAGTATGTGTGCTTGCAAGATGGCAGACAGGGGATAGAATTCTTGCTTTTAACCCTTGCAGATGGGGAAAGACCCAAGACAAGGGGGCTTTTAACCCGTTATTTACCTTTATCCATGACTATTACCCTTTTCTGGTGTCCCAGGTGAGAGTTAGGCAAGGTATCTCCAGATGTACTAAATACACCTGTGGGCCTTTATTAATTCTTCACCTCGGGTTCCTCGCCATTTCTCACCATTTCTCACCATAAGAGCCATCAATTGAAGCTTGCCCAGATATTTGTTGCTATAGGATGTTATTAAATCCACGTTTCAGTATGCAATACATCATAGGTTACTGTATATATTTATTTATAGGTCTGTATATCTAGGGGAATATTCACTAAGCATTGCATAGGTAAAACAATTTATTCTCCATCAGTTATCTTGCTCAGAAATGCCTTAGACTTGAGAAAGGGGGGTTCTGACAAAAGTTTGTCATTAAAAAAGGTATTGCAAGATACGAATTTTATCTGTTTGTTTTTTATATCTACATCACTGCACTAATACAGCTACAATCTCTACTTAGATATATAAATATGTATATACATATATTATGTTTGCTAACTAGCGCTGGACATTGCAACAGTTGGATAAAACCAAAATAATTCACACACACACACACACACACCAGTGGAAAAGCAAATTTGGGAGTAAATGGGAACAAAGATATACCCATTTTATTACAGCTATTGTAGATTTATGGTTTCATGTTTAATGAAGACAGTAGAGATATCACAAAATTGTGTAATCTAAAGGAACTCTGTATACTGAATCTGAGGGAGGGCGAGAAACTGAACTTTACACTGTCAGACTGATTTTTTGACTCCCCTAAGGGATGAAACACGTAAGGTTTGTATTTCGACTACATGGTGGTTTTTTTTTTAAATGTGTTTTTAATCTTTGTTCTAAGCACTTTTCCAAACTGTTTTTGACTTGGGAGGGGGAAATACTTTAGAAAACCCTCAAGCAACCTCTCCAGCCTATGTTGATGTGCCTTTATTTACTGCCATTTTGTGAGGGCAATGTTTATTTAATTTAAAAAAAAAAATTAACATCACAATTTTTTTCACTATGTATCTGTTACCTTTCATGTGACTGGGGAATTGAGGTCCAGAAGAAAAAGGATTTCTTACAAGTCAATGTTGTGTTCTGACATACATAGATTAGAACGATAGATAAAATGTGTGTTTCTTTAAGGGTAAGTGCTATACAAAGTAGGAACTAGCTTGATAACTGATAAGGACACAACTTCAGAAGAAAAGTTCAGCATGACAGGTGTGTTTAAATGGTTAAACACTACGGTGTCCATTGCCAAGCAGTATAAAGTTTGCAACATGATTCCTGTCTGCTTATATGTATATTAAGCTGGGAGCTTTAAAATATGTGTGAGCAATATTTTATACATGAATATATTGTTAAATATATTTTTTGATGGTGTCGCTGTAACAGGAAATACAATAAAGCCATTCTAATTATGTCACTGAGTTGGGTGTAAACTGACCAAACCTGATGGGTTTGATTGCTCTTACAAACAAGTTACTGTATGCTTTGTGCTATTGGCTTAGAATGTATGGCTTTTTGCCAGCAAGCTATTCACGTGGATAAGACCTTTAGCATCCTGGAACTTAAGTACTTTATTATTTTCATTTGTGCAACTTCAGATACATTCTGCCTCCCATAAGAGACTAAAGCACTGCATGCCTGCCTGTTGGCTTCTGACTTTGGTTTATATTTTAGTTTTTTTGTCAAACACTTTGAGCTGACATTGTACCAAAGGGGTTTTTTTTTGCTTAATTCCACCGTTTATGTATCTGTTACTCTTTGTTCTTGTGGGTGGGGGGTGGTCTGCTGTGTTATGACCAAGAATATCAAACAGTTTGGGCTATTGAGCACAAGCTGAGATGTCGGACTCCAAGCAATCGGACAGTTTGGTAGAGCCTGAGACCACGGAAAATGTATGTATAAATCCATCTTTGCTATGCATAGATGTACTAGAGAATAATTTTGTCATTTAAAAAAAAAAAAAAGTGCTTTTGTAATTTGTACTGTGCATATTGTAGTGCCTGGAAAATTTCCAAAGGACACATCCTTTGATTACCTCCATTATTATTCACACATACAAGGAAGATATGCATGTTTCCAGCAAAATTGACTTATTAGTGTTTAATTATTTGCCAGACACGAATCACAAGTTTAAGGTTAATACTTAGGAAAGAAAAAATAAACACAGATTAAAGACTGCATTCATCCTGTTGGAACCCAGAAATCAGTGTTTTCCAAGTTCTCAGGGCAGACAAGCTGAAAACTACTATTTTAAGATATTCTTTCTAATAAACCATTACATGTGCACCAGTCATACTGTAATTTATTTCTGATGAGGAGAAATAAATGCACAAACAAAAGTAGGACATTTCCTTAACTCGCCCAACTCCTGTCTCGTCAGTCATCAGCGTTCAAAAAGTTAGGTTTCTGTTGAGTACTCTGCGAGTGGTCGAGTTGCAGTAATTGTGCTGTGTTTTTTTGTTTTTTGTCTAATGTTAAGAGTAGGTAATGGTGATGTATTGGACTGTTCTGGCATAAAAATGGCAGCAATAGTATTTTCAGTAAAAAAAAAAAAAAAATGCATAGAATTTATTGGTAAAGTCCCGAGTTATGCCTTGTAAACATGTATCGAAAGGGAAGTGAATATTTTATTGGTATAGTCCCAAGTTTATAAAATGTTTTTTCTTCTTAGGTTGCATTACATTAGGGTGGAGGTACAGTATGTGTAGTAGCTATACAGACATTGCAGTTGGAGGGTACAGTACATACATATAGCGGCATTAGAGTAGGGTTATCCTACCGCATAGATGTTGCAGCTTTTATATCCGGCTTTTTACCATAAGCTTTGCATTGGCAAAAAGACCTGGCTGTTCACCTTTGTCCCCGATATCTGTTGACTAAAGTGTGGGAGGAGGGCCTCCTTGGCACGATACAGTATCCCTGATGAACAACTTGAGAGAGAGATCACATTTTTTATAGAGTTCATCGCTGTTTGTGATGGCTTACTGTATTACTTTATGTTGTCCTTAATTCATTACATTTTCCATGACTTATGTGGTAACCAATGTAAATTAAGTATTGATGGATTCATCATCTATGCAATTGAATTGTCGCTTTAATCTTTCTGCCATATATGCCGCCATGTACGTCTGTTATTTTCATTTCCTGGAAAATACAAAGATCAGTAAACAATGAATACAAACAAAAAACGTGCATATATTTGCTAAGGGAACATGCTCGAACATGGAATTGGAAATCTGAAATTGTGACACCTGTCAGTGCATATTTGAATATACAGATTTGTGGTGATCTGAATTCACTCCAATTAATAATATAGAATATTAATTGCAAGCATATCATGTTGCCCCTTCTCTCTCTACTAGTTTTATTTGTTGCGATTTTCAGTCCTCTTTCGAACAAAGCACTTTTATAGGCTACATGTGTGCAGCACTCTGACGCATTGCCTACCATCAATATACCATTCTCACAGACACATATATGCGCTGTTTGGATTTACGAGCTCTCACTGCACGGGAGGAACACCCACAAGCCTCTTCCATCCACACACTTTGTATGCTGATGTAGAAGCTCATTTATACACGTTGTTTGTCAGTCATAGAGCTGGGAATCATAGCTGTCAGAGTTCTTGGTGGAGCACTGAGCTCACAATTAAAGAGATATGCATTACTTTGAGACAATTGTCTCATTCAAAAGCTTTAGCTTGGATTGACAGTCACCTCACTTCAAGCTAAAAAAAATAATTAAAAAAAAGCATATAAACTTTTTTTTTTTGCATTTGTTTGTTTTTCAAATTGACTTGCTGCTTCTTACTTATGCTTTCACACTCCAGGGTGTACGGGACACTGATCTAACCAATTAGTGTCCTATGCAAGGCCAAATTTATGTGACCCCTCCCCCATAAAAGGCAAATAAAGTATTGACTGTTGTGACGATAAGACCTTGATGTCTCTACTATGAAAGGTGCAACAGTTCTGGCGCGTTGTCGTCCGTGGGTTTCCTTCACTAACCTGCACAGTTAACTAGTATACTAAGCACTAAGACCTTGTACTTTGAGTCGTGTATCTACTGGCAATAGACTATATACTGCACTGGTAATTTCTGTTCTTATAAGATATTCTATCTAGTCCACTGCAAATTCTATATGAGTAACTATTCAATAGTGGATGACAACCAGCAATATACCTGGATGCTTCAAGAGACACACAAACGCCTTGTTCCAGTTCATACACCGAATATATTGAAGTTTTACAATTAACACATAAACAACAGTGACCAATGTGAGACCAAGGTAAAAATTATATCAATTCGATAAGCTTCAAACAATAGCGAGCCAAATTTAAAACCAGTAATTCAATTACAGATACACCAGACAACAGGTAAAGGTATTAAAAATATCAAACGTTAATTAACAGAAGTCATCGGGTACAGGTCATTCCAGACAGAAGGGGGAAACCGTGGTTCCAATTAATAGACTTTACTCTGTCTCCCTCATTATGTACAGCGCGTGTGCCTGTACTGCACTGGGTACATCATCAACCATAGTCCCTGATTAATTTACTCTAACAATGTAATTCTGTAAGATCTGCTTTACCTTTAGAATTATACTTTGTACATAAAGCAATAGGGAACATTGTTATGCCCCCTGTGCAAAACAAGGGACAACATATCTCTGACGTGAGGACAGGCCAGTAGCAGAACTCTTGTTCTTGACACAACTAGACATTGCACACATTTAAAAAATCTTTTTTTTATTTTTTGTTTGCAACTATGTAAATAAATGCAGGCTAATCTAATGTTGGGGTAAGGGGGGGAGGGGGGATATTATTACATACGGGTTAATGTCAGAGTCAGATTACATAGGGTGGTTAGTGTTAAAAGGATTAAAAGTTTGAGATGGGTTGTAGTTGTGGAATAAGGGGTGCTTAGAATTATTGTGTTTAATTTAAAGGATCACTATAGTGTCAGGAAAACAAACCCGTTTTCCTGACACTGTCATCCTTGGGGGACCCTCACCCTCAGGATCCCCCTCCTGTGGCGCTGAAGGGGTTAAAACCCCTTCAGCCACTTACCTTAATCCCTCGGCGCTTGTGACCTCTCCTTCCCCGCCAACGTCAGCTCCCGAGTGGAGCGGAATGCGCATTCGCGGCAAGAGCCACGCGCGCATTCAAACAGTCCATAGGAAAGCAGACGTTCTGCACACTGAATGCTAATTTCATATCCAGTGTTGCAGAAGCGCCTCTAGCCGCTGTCAGGAAGACAGCCACTAGAGGTTGGATTAACCCTGCTATGTAAACATAGCAGTTTCTCTGAAACTGCTATGTTTACTTGTGAAGGGTTAAAACCTGAGGGACCTGGCACCCAGACCACTTCATTAAGCTGAATTGGTTTGGGTGACTATAGTGTCCCTTTAAGAATGGGGTTATATTTAGTAATATGGGCACATTGTGAGATTAATGTTGATACCAATGCTGTCATGGTCTGGGGACTTTGCAAAATTTGCAAAGACCCCTAATGGTAACATCGCCATCCACTGGGGGGTCTGGTGGGTAGGGAAATGGAAATGTGAGTTTTAATTAGCTGAACCTGTCTTTTGTGTGAGCCAACATGCTCTTCTTGCCAGACCTCTTCTGCTTCTGCTAGAGCAGGGGTTCTCAACCCAGTCCTCAGGACCCCCTACCAGTCCAGGATTTGGGGATTACCTGGATGTGTCTCAGGTGTTTAGAAAAAGTGAAAAAAACACCTTAGACTCTAAGGTGTTCTTTTTTTCTAAACACCTTAGACACACCCAGGTAATCCCTAAACCCTGGACTGGTAGGGGGTCCTGAGGACTAACGTTGAGAACCCCTGTGCTAGAGAATAAGCATTGAGGTCTATGGAGAATCATGAGAGACCGCGGGATCCTCCATAGATGGAGCTAATTTTTCTGCAGCCGTCACTGGTGATGGCTGGGGGAAATTACATGGTTTGATGGCGGTAGCTCCAACCACTGACAGGCAGAGGAAAAATATTATACAAAGTAGTCCCTAATTTGTCTCTGTATATCTTTTGACTTGGTTGGAATTTCAGTATGACCATTTTGTAAAGACTCTCTTAACAGTGTTTGTATCTGTGTATTAGTGTGTGTATATCTGCATTTTATATTGCCCATCCGAGATGAGGTGGATGTTCCTGACCTATGGCTGCACCTCTCATATGCTCATCAGTACTGGGTTAAGGTGAGTCACTGTGTCGTTCTTCTCAATACAGGTTGACTGCGATGAGCATGACCACACTGAGATAGATAACTCCAATATGAAGGGTTAATTGCTGGTTGCCACCAAATTGGGTTTCTTGTATATCCCTGGTGTATTTACAAGCATGCGTCTCACTATAGTCTATGTGAACCACTACATCACATAGGTCTCTATGTCTTTCAAAATACTGCTTGATGTTTTGAATATGTCTGGAGAAGTTTGAGGTGATCCTATTTGAAATCCTCCAGCTTTTCAAAGGTAGTATGCCTCTTCTTAAGAAACTCATTCCTCCCTTCTTTCTCTAAAGTGGACCAATCTTTAAATTTCTTTAATCACATATGATGTTTCCTTCGGCTGAAGGATCCAAAAGTGTGTTGAATGTCTTATCCCTGCAATATCTATATGTTCTGTACATGCAGGGCATGTCATTGTCACAACAGCATGCAGATCTACAACTTCTGGCTTGAATACGGGGGGGGGGGTTACTTCTAGTTGTCCTGTAGTATTTTGCTGTAAATGCAGAATGTTTATGATTTAACTTTTTTCAAGTTAAATACAATACTTTATTAACAAATATTTATTTTACAATAAGCAAATATTTTCAATTGTTAAAGTTTCACTGAAATAAGAAGAGAATGCTGATGTTAATGTGGTAATTCAATATTTTCTCTTCATATTCAAACTTCTCATATAAAAATAAACCACTTGCTTTTATTTGCCTATTTACAATTACTTTTTGACAACAGCTTTGTGGCAAACGGTATATCAAGTAGAGGAAATATTTATAATCCAAGTGCTATGAGAATATTTCTTGTATCTTCATACTAAGGCAGATTTTAAATACTGTTTATTTTATAAAACAGGGCTAAAAGAACTGCAGCCATTGGACTATCATTCCCATCATACAGCAACCAACCACACAACTAGAGATGATGGGAAATCTAGTCTGATAAGGCTAGAAGAGATATAGCTTGCCCTATTCAGTTCATAAATGGTACGTGATGTTCTTAATGTAACCCTTTGGGTTCTCGAGGAGAGCACACCTTCTAATACCCTGGTGGTCCTGAAAGGGTTAAATACAGTAGACAAGATTGCATACTGCCTAAATGAATCATGGAATACAAGGCTGTATATACTGGGACTGGCACTATTCGAAACACAGTCTAAAGCACCCACTTTTGAGAAAAATTAATTGCATAAACATCTTTGCGCATCACTGTTCCATATTTTAAAACATGGGAATCGGGGGGCGTGGCTAACCGCCGAGCAAGATGGACGCCTGAGATTTTGCTCCGGCACGAGGGCTCCTCTTCCAAGAATCTTTACACTGAGCTGAAAACCTGACATCCACCAAACTCCCCATGGCAACCTCTAAAACTAAAAAGGCTACCTCTAAGGCCGAAAAAATGAACTTTTTCGGCCACAAATCCTCCTCTGCTGTGGACCCGCCACGAGCAGCCGGACAAGAGGGCGCAGACGAAACGGCTCCCAGCCTCTCCCCAGCGCCATCGGAAGACTCTACGCCAGTGGAATGTCTAACACGAAGCCACTTTGAACAGGCAATGGAGATCATGGCAGAAAAGTTAATCGCCACCTGGCAAACGACCGCCGACCAAATCAAGAGGGAGGTGAGAGATCTCTCAGCGAGAACAACTAATATGGAACGGCGCCACCAGGAGATGGAGACTGTACAAACCGCCACTTCAGAGCAACTACAGGCGATACAACATAAGCTGACAGTCATGGAAGAACGCATGGCGGACCATGAGGACCGTGCCCGAAGAAACAATCTGCGACTCCGCGGAGTCCCGGAGACAGTCCTGCCAGACGACCTGCAAGCCTATGCAAGAGGCCTAATGAGAGCTTATGCTCCTGACATCCCCGCAGACATGCTCCTGGTGGACAGGATACATAGGGTGTCAAAACCCAAAAACCTGCCAGACTCCATACCACGCGACGTATTGCTTAGGGCCCACTACTTCCACATCAAGGAGCTGGTCCTCCGCTCTCACCGGAACAGAGGGGGCCCCCATGATGACTTCCCATCGGTGCGCATTATGGCGGACCTGTCGCCAGCTACACTCCGCCGCAGAAGGGATTACAATCAGACTACCACGGCACTCCGCAACCATGGGATTCGATATCGGTGGGGGTTTCCCACGAAACTAATACTCACCAAAAGCGGGAAGACGTCCATCATATCATCCCCAGAAGAAGGATTACAGCTTATCGAGACATGGGGCCTACTAAAAGAACCGCCGGGAGAACCGCGGCATGACAAACGCCGCCCAGGCCGCAATGCAGCCATGGACTGACCCACTAACTTGCAAAAGCAAAATGCACCTGACGCAAGTATCATTTAATGCTTACCTATGCTTACCTATCTCTGACACTCAATGCGCTTCCGTAGGTAGCTGTCAGCTACCTTGCGCTGTATCTGAGCTCTATTCACCCCGTCCGCTCCCCATATCCCAGCGCCCGTAGTGTCCCAGACCAAGTGGAAATGCACACCCCAGGAGGTCCCTGAGATAGGAGGGAGGCTAGCGGCAGTGAGCCCGAAGAATACTTACCCGCATACCCCTCCGCTCCCATCACCAAGCACCGCCAGCCTATATACAAAATAACCGAGGTATTGTGAGCGCACACCTTATAGTGTAAACTCTACTAGTGAGCCTAAATGCCATACCTTGCTAGCCACCTCTTCCCCCCCCAAGGTTCAGGCATGCCATGTCCATGCCCACGTGCAATGCTCCCCTCCCTCCCTATGCCATCTAGCTGGGAGCCCAGCTCTCTATTGCAATATAAACACAACATAAACTGTGCAGGTATGCTCAACAAGGGTATAAAGTAACCTCCGATGTTATAACGTGCTCTATGAAGTTCAAAAAAACAAAACAAAAAAAAAACTTTTTTCTGCATCATTCATATGCCTCCCGACAACCAGTGGAGGCATGCAAGCCCAAAACAATTAACACTCTCACAAGACCTTGTAAGGCACGATAGAACTGAATGACTAGCACTAGCCGCATAGCGGACCCCATGCTTCATGACACCGCTAGTTTACAAGCCACCCCCCCAATGCCTACAAGCATGCTTCAGGCTATACCACAGAGGCCAACTTGTACATAGACATGTAGCCTCTTATCACCCCTCCGAAGCGGACGCCTAGAGCCACCCTGACACACTAGACTAACTCCTAATTGGACCAGAGAGCCTATATGGCATGCCAACCACCTCCTCCTCCCTTCCTCCCTGCGGGCTGAGAACGCCCAACACAATATTCACCTGGGACAGCGACAATATACAACATTAAAATAGCCCCACCTGGGAGAATGTAAGCTCTGCCCCCGAGCAGATAACCCGATTATGGGGACGCTCACATAATTCGGAGGGAGTCACTCACTCCACAATACACAGAGTCTCAGAGTACTTAAATCCCACAGCGCCAGGTCAAGCAATGATTATTGTATGTCTTCTGCAACCAAAGTTATTGTTAATTGTTAATGTTTTGCTATACTGTTTGTAAGCCTCACTTATGTGTTTTCAGCTCAACTTTATTAAAAATTACCTAGGAGCCCGCTTAGCCACGTATCCGGAAGCTCTAGCTCCTATCCCCCAGGTACACATAGAGTACCAGACCAATAGGTCCTGTACATAACCCCCTCCTACACATTACTTCCCCACACTCCCGCAACCTACCCACCCCCACCAACACTTATCAACGCAGAGAATCAAACACCAACTAACCCGGATTGCACATATTCCAGACAAATTCTTCAAGCCTCATAACACACAATAACGACCATGCTAATCTACTCGCATAACACCAAAGGCCTGAACACGCCACACAAACGACGCATGCTCCTCAATGACATCAAACAAACCAAGGCGGACATAGTCTGCATACAAGAAACGCACTTCGTCTCCACTAAAGTCCCAACCTTCGCCCTCAGGGAATACCCCACGCAACACCACGCCACCCACACCTCCAAATCCAGAGGTGTATCCATCCTGCTACATAACTCTCTAACTGTAGAAACTCTCAGGGTCAAAAAAGACAACCAGGGACGGTACATAATTCTACACTGTAGAATAAATGAGCACCCATATGTCATAGTATGCCTCTATAGCCCTAACGAACAACAACGCAACTTCCTACACAAAATTCTCGCCAAGCTACCTGAAGGTGTGAATGACCCCAAGATCATATGTGGCGACTACAACCACATTATGGACACGCATATGGATTCAACCATTCCAAACACATCGACAAGGCACCACACTCTCAGGCCCCAAACCAAGGCTTTCACCAAGCTCATCCACGAAAATAGCTTATACGATGTTTGGAGAACAAAACACCCCTCAGAAAAAGAATACACGTTCTTCTCACAAGTACATAAAACCTTCTCCAGAATAGACCACATCCTTGCCTCAGGCACGTTACTCCCACACATAGAAAACTGCTCCATCGGCAATATAGTATGGTCTGACCATGCCCCGATAACAATGACCTTACATTCAGCCTATCAACACCGAGGTAAGCCGCCATGGCGCCTCAACGATTCATTGCTATATGACCAAACATTCACAGCGCTACTGGCAACAAACTTAAAAGAATTTTTCAAGACGAATGATACCCCAGATGTCTCCATATTCTCAATATGGCAAGCCCATAAAACGGTGATGAGAGGCTTACTAATCAGCCGCGCATCCCACCTGAAACGTAAACGAGAAAAACACCACACAGACCTCCTGCGTAAACTGAGAGATACCACTGCGGCTCACCTTCTAACCCCCTCCACAGCCCACGCTGAGGAAATCAAAGAAATCACCAAGCAACTTCACACACTATCTCTGGAAAAAACGTCCCACATCCTTGCCAAACTGAAATTGAGAACATACACCCAAGGCAACAGAGCTGGGAAACATCTGGCCACTATGCTTAAAAAGCAGCAATCTAACTCTAAAATCCCACACTTGCTTACCGCCAAGGGCGACAAAATATACAACCCGCAAGACATCAACGACAACATGGCTGACTATTACCACTCCCTATATAACCTCTGCACGGATCCCACTCTACACCAACCAAACACAATAGAAATCGAAGAATTTCTTGCGAAGATTCAGCTTCCCACTCTTAATGACACACAAAAGAATGCCATACAACTTCAGGTCACCACACAAGAAATACTAGACACCATTAGCTCCTTACCCCCCGGGAAATCACCAGGCCCTGACGGCATGACCAATGCCTACTATAAGCAATTCGCGCCACTCCTGGCCCCCTACCTACAAAGGGTATACCACCACATCACACTGACAGGCCAACTGCCAAAAGAGATGCTAATGGCCCACGTAGCCACCCTCCCTAAGCCGGGAAAACCCCCTAATAGATGCCAAAACCTCCGTCCTATCTCCCTGTTAAACACGGACGTAAAAATCATAGCGAAAATCTTCTCCAACAGGTTAGCACATATCATACCCTCTCTAATACAGGAAGATCAGGTGGGATTCGTGAGTGGTAGACAAGGGACTGACGGCACAAGGAAAACACTAGACCTACTTTACGAGATCCAACAGAATAAAACCCCTAGCGTCCTATTATCATTAGACGCTGAAAAAGCCTTTGACAGGCTACACTGGCCCTTCCTAATGGCAGTACTCCGAAAATTCGATTTTCCCCCTCAATTTTTAGCGCTTGTCACGGCACTTTACTCCTCACCGACGGCCAAGGTAGTGAACGGGGGATTCATATCGAAACCATTCCACATCTCCAATGGCTCCAGACAGGGCTGCCCCCTTTCCCCCCTCCTCTACATCCTGACACTAGAACCCCTTACCCAACTGATCAGAGACAACCCCAATATACACGGGATCAAAATCAACAACCGAGAATATAAACTATCTCTATTTGCGGATGATATCCTTCTCACCTTAGAACAACCGCACATATCCCTGCCCAATTTCCACAAAATCCTCTCCCAATTCAGCGCCTGCTCTTACTACAAATTGAACATCTCAAAAACACTCGCCCTAGGCGTCAACATCCCAAATCAAGAACTATTGCTCCTCAAAACTAATTTCAACTATGACTGGAGGCGAGACCATATCAAATTCTTAGGCATCCTCTTCACACCGTCCACGAACTCCCCATATAAAGCCAACTATATCAAACTCCTCACAGAAATTCGAACTCTGCTGCACAGCTGGAGGGGCAAGTACATATCCTGGACGGGCCGAATAGCTTCCGTAAAAATGGTGATCCTACCTAAAATCCAGCAGTAAAGTATAGAAGAATTAAGGTTAAAAATAGTCCAGAAATTAGGTGCTCCAATCACCAATGTGAGTCACTTAACACAAAACAAAATAAAACAGTATACAAAATTGTGAATGGTGAGAGCACACTGTATATCTTTACCCTTGTATTACTTAAAACTCCATAGGAATCTAAAAGCAAGAGAAAAGAACATATAGGGTAATAACGAAGCAACTGTAATGCTTAAAATACCATAATATGGTCAAACTCACATGGTCATGAGCCACTTAAAAAAGCTGGCTCAGACTAACAGCATATCAGCATATGTACAAGAGAACTCCAAGCTCAATTCACTTTGTGGTCCTTAGTTCAAGCTGTTTCAATCAAATCTGGATGCAAGAAATGATTGTAACGGACCGTTTCTCTCACAAGGGGATAAAATCCGTTTAGGCGATAATCCCCTTTCCCATAGACCAGCAGCTACTGCAATCACCAACCTCCCGAACTCCAAACTGTACGAATACCCAACTCACGAACAAGAAATACACGAACTCTGGAAGCAGCCGAACAGGAAAAGCAATACGAACAGCTTACACTCCTGGCAGTCAGCACACAATCCAATTCCCCCAATAACAAGACGACACTTCGTTTTGAGGGTTAAGCAGAATCTACCAGATTTATTCACACAGCCTCCTTTTAAGACATTCTCCCATGCAAGGGAGGGATCCACAACAATTAGTACCCCAGCCAATAATGTACCAGTTACCTCCCACACCTCTCCTCCCCTTAGTGTGACACATAATCCCATTAGTACAGACACAAATTCCCTGGGATACTGGATGTACCCCTAAACATAGGAATACCCCTTTAAATGTTACATCCCCTGGTAACCCTGATCTGGGTGAGACACATATCCAAAAATCACCCAGATCGGACCAGGGGTTCAAGAATTATAAAGGGTTAAAGTTTTGACCGACTGCATGGCAAAAGTATCCGAAAATAGTTCCATGTACTTTGGCCCTGCAGTCGGTCACAGAAAAGGGAATGAATCACACGAATTGCCTGGGTTATAGAGCTTGGGGAGGATTCGTATGAATCCCCCTGTTCGTGGGATCCTTTCTACCGAACGGCGGGCCGTTCGGTAGTTCCTGCACGAATTGCTGGAAGTCTGGAGGTCTCAGCGGTGTTTGCTTAGTCAAGTGTCCGATTTTAGTTCCAGACACTCGACGGCAAAACACCGCTGTTCGGGAGTTTAAGATGGCCGCCGCCACGTGTTCGTTTCCCGAATGGCGGCCACCCAGAGGACACACCACACATTACACATATTGCCAATTACCCATTTGCAACATTGTTGCAAACGGTAATTGGAGGCACACTTACTCCCGGGTGGTCTGGTTGTTCGGTAGTTTCACCCAATATAATGAATGAAGTGATTCTACCGAACAATCAGGGGAATGCTGCATTCACCTAACACTTTATACCGAACATATAATATTAAATACAGCCTGAATGCAATTTGCTACACAGTCTTAAAAAGGCATTATTCCTAACAGGCAGAATATGTTCACGGAGGGCCCTTAAAGGGCCAGTAGCAGCAATATAAGAATGTCACATGCCCAAATATTGCATACAAAAGTACGAATTCACAAGGGGGCCATAGTCAGATGGCAGGAGGCTGGCAACCAGGCTTCTCCAGTGCATAGTGGCGAGGTTGGTTTCGCCACAATGATGAAGTGCAAAAAACTTTTATTCCACATATATTAAAAAGCTGGATACAAACAAACACTGTTGTTTTAAAAAAGTCCTCTTAAAAATAAACTTGACGCGTTTTGGCATATAGCCTTTTTCAAAAGTCCATCTTTCTTCTTTCTGTCTGGTTTAAATACCTACTTAAATAATTTTAAGTAAGGGTTTTAAATTTGCACCGAGTTGTGCAGCTGATAAATTTGGAACATTTATTGACCTTAATAGATTCACAAGAAAATTATGTCTAAAAAATTTTTTTAAGACTATGCCCCTGAAATCTGTTGAAAAAGTAGATGATGGTTTTAAACATACATTTTTGAAAAATAAATCATCATTTTATCCTTTTAATTTTAAGACGGATTCGATTAAGACATTTGAGAGATCTTGTTTGAAAGATATAAAGAAAATTAAACCCCTAAATAAATATCAAAATAATCTTATGAAAGAAGAAAGAGAGGCGTTAAAAGACTTACAAAAAGACGTAAATATAGTGATTAAGCCTGCGGATAAAGGGGGAGGAGTAATTATTTGGAAAAAGGAGAAATACATGGAAGAGATTTATAGACAATTAGAAGACTCTAATACGTATCAAGAACTCCAAGATAATCCACTTAACAAAATTGTAGAACTATATCAGACTTTTTTAAATAAAGGACTGGAAAAAGGTATTCTAAATAAAAAGAATTTGAGTTTTTAAACGTTAAGTTCCCAAAAATTCCTGTCTTTTATGTGCTTCCAAAAGTACATAAAAATGCAGATAATCCACCAGGGAGACCCATAGTCTCAGGCATAGGATCCCTTTTAGCCCCACTCTCAAAATATATTGACCAGTTTTTACAAGATCCTGTTAAGAAATGTAGAGCGTATCTTAAAGACACAATGAGTCTTTTAAATATTCTAAATGATTTTAAGTGGGAAGATAACTACATTTTGGCAACTGCAGATGTGAACAGCCTTTACACCAATATTGATCACAGTAGGGGTTGTGAGGCTGCAGCTCATTTTTTAAGAAAATTTAGTGAGCTGTCAGACATCCAAATCAACTTTATTATAGAAGGAATAGAGATAATACTTAATAATAATTTTTTTTTGGTTTAATAAAAAATTTTATCTGCAGATTAAAGGTACAGCTATGGGGACCAGATTTGCCCCAAGCTATGCTAATCTTTTCATGTCATATTGGGAAGACTGTTTTATCTACAATGATGAAAAAATTGGGGCAAATCTGGTCCTCTATAAGCGCTATATAGATGTGTTTTTAATATGGAAAGGGAGTGAGGAAACACTTCAAACACTTTTTAACAACTTAAATAATAATAAGTGGAATATTACCCTTACATATGATATTAGCCGGCAAACCATTAATTTTTTTAGATTTAACTATTTTTATTGAAGAACAAAAGATTAAAAGTAAAACCTATTTTAAGTCGGTTGACGTTAATAGTTTTATTGATTGTAAAAGTTGCCATTTTAGACCATGGCTGGAAAATATCCCAAAAGGACAAATGTTACGGATCAAAAGGAACTGTACTGAAAATAAAGAGTTTGTACAGCAAACAGAAAGATTAATGGGACAGTTTGAGGAAAAAGGTTATAATAGTAATACCCTGGAAAAAACTTTTAGAGAGATTGAAAAAATTGATAGACAAGCACTTTTACAATATAAAAATAAAAATAAACCTTTAGGTCAAAGAGAGGATGAGGAAGTACCTCTTATCTTTGATTTTAGCTCCAATAATAAGGACCTGAGGAAAATAATTTATAAAAACTGGCATATTTTAAAAACAAATGATAGGTTAACAAGTTTTATAAAGGATAAACCAAAAATTATTTTTAGAGGGGCGAGGAATCTTAAACAAGCTTTAACTAAAAGTTTTTTAGATATTGATAAGAAGGATAATTTTTTAAAACAACCAAATGGATTTTATTATTGTGGAGACTGTAGGGGCTGTAAAGCAACCAAAAATAGGCCTTCCAAAAAAATCCAGAATTTTTCGTCCAAAACTTCAATAAAAAAGTATGATATTAAATCCTTTATAACATGTAATAGTAAAGGGGTGATATACATGTTAACCTGTCCATGTGGTTTACAGTACATAGGGAGGACCTCTCGTAGTCTCAAAATCAGAATTAGGGAACACCTCTATAATATTAATCGCAAATTTGAAATTCATAGTGTGTCTAAACACTTTATGGAGTATCATAATAGTGATCCAAAATACTTAGATTTTGTAGGAATTGAAAAAGTAGATATACATTGGAGAGGGGGAGATAAAGAAAATTTATTAAATAGGACGGAAATGAAGTGGATCTTTAATATGGACACTCTAATACCACAAGGTCTAAATGTGGACTTTGAGATCACCCCATATTTATAAAGTTAATCAAATTTTAGTTTTATTTTAATCATTTTTTATACCAAAAAATTTTTTAGGAATTTTTTAAATAATTTTTTACAAATAATTTATTTATAGATTCTTAATTAGTATATATAGGTAATTTACGGTACTAAAAGGGTATTTATATATACTTGGAAGATTTCCAAATCTGCATACATTATGTATGCAATTGGGTTGATCTTAATCTCCTTTCTACATATATTTAGATATATGTTTTTAAATATCAATGTATTGTTAATTTAAATTTATATTTATATGTATTTCTTTCCCCTTTCCCCCCTTTTTCACTCTGTAGTATATTTGATATATGTAAATGTGTATCTATTATATCATATGGTGTGCACTGTAATTTTAATTTAAATTATGGCTTTTGCCCTCTCTGGACGTCTAAGAGACCCATTTTTAAAGAGGGAAAATTGATTTAGAACTTATTGCCCCGCCCCTGACGTAAACGCCACGACGGCAATGCGATGTGGACGTTATGACGTCATACGTGGGGGACGTTACGTTTGTGAGTGGCGCCGGAAGTAGAGGAGGATGCGGCCAGACGCCAAATAATGGCGTGGATGCGGCCGAATACCGGAAACCGGAAGAGGAAGTGAATCCCAGCCGGCAGAAAGAGCGCCAAAAAAGAAGTATTTAAACCAGACAGAAAGAAGAAAGATGGACTTTTGAAAAAGGCTATATGCCGAAACGCGTCAAGTTTATTTTTAAGAGGACTTTTTTAAAACAACAGTGTTTGTTTGTATCCAGCTTTTTAATATATGTGGAATAAAAGTTTTTTGCACTTCATCATTTCTTGCATCCAGATTTGATTGAAACAGCTTGAACTAAGGACCACAAAGTGAATTGAGCTTGGAGTTCTCTTGTACATATGCTGATATGCTGCTACCTAAAATCCAGTATATGTTCCGCACGCTCCCACTTAAGCTTCCCAACAAGTACTTAAAGGACCTGCAAAGTTCAATAAATGACTATGTATGGGACTACAAAAAACCAAGAGTAACCCTAAACACGATGGTCGCTTCACGAGCCCAAGGAGGGATGGGCCTACCAGATGTGAAAGGATACTATAGAGCTGCGCAGATTGCTCCACTTATTGCAGCCTCCCACCGCTCGACTCCCATGACATGGGTCGAATTGGAGAAACGTAAAGCCGAAGGCATCTCACTCCCCGCTGTGGCATGGATGCCGCCGAAACACAGACCCAAAGCGCCAGAAATGCTGCCGACAACCACACTTACTCTCTCTGTGTGGGACGACTACCGCAAAAAAAAGGGGAAAATGTCACCCATCTCACCAGCAACCCCAATAGAATCGATCCAGCACATTATCCCAAACTTCAACCACAAACTATGGCACAGACATGGCATCCACACACTGTCGCAAGTGTTGCAGGGTACCAAACTCAAGCAATTCAAAGATATATGTGAAGAATTCCGAATCCCAACGACAGCGACCTTCTCCTACAACCAGCTACAATCATGGATAAACCTACAGAAATCGCAACAAACAGTGCGCTCACCTGATCCACACTGGCTCAAGCTGACAGAGATATGCACCAAGACGAAACCGGCAACAAAAATTATCTCAACAATTTACACATCTGAAAAAACAGACACCCAAGGCAAAATACCCTCCTATAGGATAGCATGGGAAAAAGACATAGGGCATGAACTCACAGATGAACAATGGCAATATATATTCCACGCCAACAACAAGCTATCCCTCTGCACATCCCACACAGAACTCTCCCGCAAATTGATGTACCGGTGGTATCTTGTACCAACGAGACTTAAACACAGCTACCCGAATGTGCCAGACACATGCTGGCGCTGCCAGCGAGACCGGGGCACCCTGCTGCACATATGGTGGCAATGCCCACTACTGAAACAGTTTTGGTCACAAGTCCTAAATCTAACGACCCGCTGCACCCAACTGCAAATTACTTTGATACCTGAACTGTTTCTACTATTACTACTCCCCCAAACACCTCACATTCACACCAGGTACTTGCTATACCACATCTGCATAGCAGCTCTCACCGTTGTAAGCAGGAAATGGAAACAACTCACTGCCCCCACGATCAGCCAGTGCATTACAGCTATAGAAACTTCCAGATCTTACGAAATGGCAGCGAGAAAATCAGCACAAAACAAATCTTACTGGACTGAGGCTTGGGACATATGGGACAGAAACAAACCACGCTGAAATGCAAAACAAAGCACTACCAGAATCGAGAGACACAACTCCTTCCTCTGGAGGCACTGAAGAAGCCACCCCAGCCCACGTCCAAGCACCCATTCCTTAACCACAACACAATCCATGCACACCACACATCAACTTCAGACATTCACTCCCCACCCTACCCCTCGCCATTCCCCCTCCCCCCCTCCCTTAACCAAAGACTACCAACCATGCCAACAATACAGATCGGCACCCCCAAACCACATCGAACACGATACAAGCAAAAGAGACCCATGACCGCACGTTAAGGTTCAGAGGCTGTGGTACTATACATGTTCATATTTTGTATTTTGTACATTGTACTGTCTAACATCCTCATGGTGCCCGTGATGATCACATACTGCAACTGTGATAACATGTGTGATGCATTCGATACCCCACCTAACCCCCTCTGCTTCTGTACCCTTCCCATGACCCCTTATTGCAAAATAAAAATTGTCAAATTCAAAAAAACATGGGAATCAAATTAGGATTTACACTTGACAAACTGTAACACAAAAACAGAGACACTGAACATCAATGCATGTGTTCTCCTAATAAACCAATCGTCCGGAAGGCTGCCTGCAGCTTTCCACAAACCAGCGTGCCCCCACCCTCAGGGACCCCCTCCCGCCCGGCTCTGGAAAGGGGAAAGGGGTTTAAACTTACCTTTTTCCAGCGCTGGGCGGGGAGCTCTCCTCCTCCGATCCTCCTTCTCTCCTCCCCGTCGGCTGAATGCGCACGCGCGGCAAGAGCTGCGCGCGCATTCAGCCGGTCACATAGGAAAGCATTCATAATGCTTTCCTATGAACGCTGGCGTGCTCTCACTGTGAAAATCACAGTGAGAAGCACGCAAGCGCCTCTAGTGGCTGTCAATGAGACAGCCACTAGAGGAAATAGGGGAAGGCTTAACCCATTGATAAACATAGCAGTTTCTCTGAAACTATGTTTATGAAAAAATGGGTTAACCCTAGCTGGACCTGGCACCCAGACCACTTCATTAAGCTGAAGTGGTCTGGGTGCCTATAATGGTCCTTTAAGGGGTTAAATAGGTATGTTTTCCCAGTGAAAACCTTTGATAAAGAGAATATATATATATATATATTCACAGTAGTGTCAAGAATACAAACCTTTGTTCCTAAACCAGTAGTACTCAAATGCAGTATTAGGTCCCTGGCCCCCCTCTCTCCGGCAGTCACAGATACTTTTACTCCCCTTTTCTCCCACACTGTGACGGTCTCGCTGCGTCTGGCCTCACCTCCATGGCTGAGATCATTAATTTTTATGAAAGCATGGGGAGGCTATTGCACTTGCGCAGCAAAAAGCCACACTGCACCGGTCAGCATTTCCTCAAAGAGATGCATTGAATCAATGCATCTCTGTAGGGAACATTCAGCATCTCCATGCAGATTGTGGGGTTGGGGCCGCCGCCATGAAACCCAGGCAGCACTGGAAGAAAGTTGAGTAAACTCACTATTACTTTACTGACATGTGTGTATTCCTGACGCTTTAGTGTTTCTTTAAATTATAAAATAACATGCATTCAGCAAAAAATGAGTTTATGTTGCATTATTTAAAATATTTTTTTTCTCTGTTTTAAATTTATATTTCTACTTGCAGGGTAAAGCCGAAGTCAGCATGGCGTCACATCTTAAGTATATCTCTCTGGGGATTCTGGTGATCCAGACTACTAGTTTAGTATTGACAATGCGCTACTCTCGAACGCTGAAGGAAGAGGGTCCTCGATACTTGTCGTCCACTGCTGTGGTGGCTGCAGAGGTCCTAAAAATTGTGGCGTGTATATTCTTGGTGTATAAAGATAACAGTAAGTAGAGAAATGCATAGAACCCTGCTTTTAAGATTTATTTATTTTAAGTGTGTTCCAGTTATGTGCACATTTTGTATGTAGCTCAATCCACTGAAAAAATAACATTATTTGGTTTTGAAGTCATCTCTGTTGGATCGCTTGAGCCAAGCCTTGTAGGGCAAGACTTGGCTCACTGGCTGACTGCATCAACTGATTAACCTCCTCATTTTAAAACAAACTCCTCAAAATGTCTCTGAACTGATATTCTTCCATTATGCCCCATGCAGTCATTGTCAACCAAAACCTTAGCCTTACTGATGTGACTGTTACACTTGCAGTGAAGCTGGCACTAGGGAAAGGAATTGGTGGGCAATGGGAATGGGTGTTCCGTTAGTGTAACACTGGCAAATCCTGGTTAACCCCTTAAGGACACATGACGTGTGACATGTCATGATTCCCTTTTATTCCAGAAGTTTGGTCCTTAAGGGGTTAATGGCTGAGTTTCTAGACATGCGATAATTGCTCAGTTAACATCTACCTTTAGATGTTCTCTGTTAAATCCACTAGAAATTGCTAAATATGTGTAAGGTGTGTACAAATTGGCAAGGGAAGGACATCTGAATAGACAACAAAAAAGACCTTGTCCATTCTCCGCACTCTCTTACACTTTGTTTTTTTTTTCTCTTGCCAAAAACAAGGGTAATCCAGACGTGAACCCCATGCTCACGGTGTCTGGAGGGGTATTTTCCATCACTCACCGACAACGCCTAACAAGGTTGAAACAAATCCCTGGGGTTGCTGTATCTTTTGCGCAGAGAGAGACAGCGTGCGCATTCAGCCTGTCTCATAGGAAAGCATTCATAATGCTTTCCTATGGACGCTGGCGTCTTCTCACTGTGATTTTCACAGTGAGAAGCACACAAACGCCTCTAGCGGCTGTCAATGAGACAGCCACTAGAGGCTTTAGAGGCTGGATTAACCCATTTATAAACATAGCAGTTTCTCTGAAACTATGTTTATATATAAATTAAAAAAAAGGGGGGGGGGGGTTAATCCTAGAGGGACCTGGCACCCAGACCACTTCATTAAGCTGAAGTGGTCTGGGTGCCTAGAGTGGTCCTTTAAGATGATGCCTGTTCTTGGTATTCTACTGCACCTTGTTTTTTTGCTCTCCCCTACTGTCTCACTGCTCAGTTCTCTACCATTTTGGAGTCACGTCCCTTTTGTTTTGGTTTCTGCAGGCCTAGACACACCTGTCCTGGCTGTGACTGACACAGCCTGCATCAAAAAATATACTTTCACTTTCAATGTTAACTTACTTTAAAAGTTGTTTTTTTTTTATCTCCTCCTCTGTAAATTGAACTTTAATCACCCACAGGAGGTAACTGCAGGGTCTGGCAAGCTAACAGTGGAGGATATAAGAAATTCTAAATTTTAAACCGATTTTACGGTAAGTGAAGTGAAAACATTAGATAACTCTTTACAGGAAGTGTTTACGAAAGTCACAGGCAGGGAGGTGTAACTAGGGCTGTGTAAACAAAGTGATTCAACTACTAAATGGCAGAGAAGTGAGCTATACACAAAAACTGCTTCCTTAAGCTAAATTTGTTTTGGTGACTATAGTGTCCCTTTTAAGGTTTTTTGTTTTTTGTTTTGTTTGTTTTAGTAAAACCTCGTTACCAATAGTTTGAATTAAAAAAGAACCCTGAAGCGTCCATTTTGCAAGGTCATATTCGGTTTTGGCACAATTGGTCATCACCCACCCCATCAATTCAATGAATGTACAGTGATATCTGGGCGAAGACATGCTGTCCATTTTAAAGCACATTTGTAGTAGTTGTACGGTGATATGTTTTTTTCTGAGCTGTATAAGATTTGTGTTTACAATTATGACTTATTCTTACCCCTCCTTGCCTGACTGGTTTTGTTTAACAGGTTGTAGCTTGCGAGCGCTGAACCGGGTGCTACATGATGAAATTATTAACAAGCCAATGGAGACATTAAAGCTTGCGATACCCTCTGGAATCTACACCCTGCAAAATAACCTGCTCTATGTTGCACTGTCGAACCTCGATGCAGCTACTTATCAGGTACTGAGACCGTGCATAGCCTGAGCAGAATGCAGGCTCCTGGAATGTGACTGCTGCTACTTGATACATTGTTTCACGATACAAGTGCATTGTGGAAGTAAATAGGTGTATATGTATCAATAAATGCTAATTATAATTTAATAATAAAGTGGTTATTTATATATTTAAATTTTTTTATTAAAATTGTATGCCTCATTTTGGTGTGGGGTTTTTTTTTTGGGGGGGGGGGGGATGAGATTAAATCTTCCCCAAATATATAATCAAATAAATAGGTGGACACTATATAGAGCTGCAAAAACAGAAACAAAAGTGATTTAACTCCTGGATGGCAGAGGCATTATTCATACACCAAACAGCTTCGCAAAGCGCAAGTTGTTTTGTTGCCCATAGTGTCATTTTAAGCACATATACAGCAGGTTAACCTTTGCCCAGCCACTCCTGGAGTACATTTCCCATGAATTATCTCTCTATTTACCAACTACACTTATTTAAGAGAAGAAAAACGGTATGTCAGTGTTTGAATTTCACTCCAGGAGGTGGCTGAAACATGTATTTTTTTCATCCCAGTGAAAACCAAGGATAAAGAACTGCACATGAATGTATGTGTTAACTTTCTTCTTTAATCAGAATGAGGGGATGCATTAAAGGAACACTAGCGTCAGGAATACAAACCTGTATTCCTGACTCTACAGTACTGGAATTCAACTTTCCGTCTGAGTGACTGCCACTAGAGGTCTAACTTGCCAGCAATATAAACTCTTACATTTCTATTAAAAGGCAGTGTTTACATTAAATAGCCTGCAGGGACAGGCTATAGACACCAGAACCACTACATTAAGCTGCAGTGGTTCTGTTGTCTATAATGTCCCTTTGAGGTACAACCTCCTGCACACATCCCTCAGTGCACACAAATCCATTCCAGAATTCTTAGTACATCTCCAAGCGCTAAGCATGGTAGGATTGGTAGGGCTGCAGCATAATAAATTGCAGTTCTAGCAATTTGCCTAGATAAATTTTCATTTTTGCATTACTGATGCACATTAATAGCTTAACAGTTTTTAAAAATATAATGTGTTCTTGTGATCTACACTTGCATACTAATATAATCATTTTAAATATCACTCATATATCGTAATAACTCATTTTTGTAATGAGTGTCCGCATCTAAATTGGTATTCCTTTGTGGCAATTAAGTATGCATACTTGTCTAGTGAGAATGCAAGGAAGAGAATGCAAGTAATTTTGGCATTCAAATGCTGCTGAAGATAAAAGAAAATGTACATATGCCTTGGAAATGTTTCCTAATGCAGAGGGTCCAAAAGTGTTGGGTCCCACCGCATTAGTAAATCAGGTGCTCAAGACATTTATTCTGCTTTTCTTCTGTTCTTCACTGATTCCATTCAGTAGTTGCTGTGCTGGTGTTTTCATTGAACAACAGTCTTTATTTCATCTACTTCAAGTTCCTTTTTTTTTGCTGTTAACCTCTTGCCTCTTTCACCCTGTCTGTCATTTTACAGGTCACATACCAGTTGAAAATCCTCACTACGGCCTTGTTTTCCGTGTCCATGCTCCAGAAAAAGCTTAAAAGTAATCAATGGCTCTCATTGTGTATCCTGATGGCTGGTGTTACGCTAGTTCAGGTAAATGTTATGCAGACTGTAATTGTTCATTTCTTTCAAAGTTGAACACTTGGAATAAATGTGCAAGTTTGATAATATCCACACAATAATCTTCTAAAGTGGCCATGCAATACATAATTCACATGAAAGTACTTTAGATTGTGTTTAAAGTGAATGCACATTTAACGTGCGTTGGAGTACAATCCAGTGTAGCTCACAAAAAATACCATATCCTGGGATTAGCCTCTTGGAAATACCTCAGAGAAGAAGTGGGGAAAAAATAGTGCATCCAAACAAATAAAATAGGGGAAATTAAGACTATTTCGGATAGTGGAATTTCCAACTCACATGTTTCAAAACCCTATAAGAATGTTTCTGTTCTTATATGGCATTAGAGTCTTTAATGGGGGACTCCGTCCCTCATTGGGCTGTAGCTCCTCTTCTTCAATTTCTGCTCAATGTACAGGATAAAATATTTAGGACAACCGCATTAATTGTGAGTGTTCAATAGTGTGTGTAACTACTTGTAACAGTTTGTGCGTTGGGGTGTGTGTGTATGCTGGCAACTATGCGCGGGTGTGTAATTTTGTGGTGGCACTGGGGTTTGGGGGTTGTGGTGGAGGCGCATCAGCTCACTGTTCACATTTTGCCCTACCTGACAAATGAGTTCAGTACCCCTGAACTAGGTGGGGTGTGTGTGTGTGTGTGTGTATATATAAATAATCACAATCTTCATGAGAATCCAGAGGAAACTGATGGACGAATAATGTAATAGCATCGTCTGTTAAAAAAAAAAATAAAAAAAAAAATACTTGTAACCATGAAGATGCACAGATCCATAAACATATATGATTTATAGTACAGTTTCAATGTTTAGATTAAGAAAACAAGAGGATTCTTTTCATTTAACCCCTTGGGTGCTAAAGCATGTAATGTGGAGATCCAGAAAGCTTATACATAATGCATAGAAACAGAGCACACTTGTTAAATGAAAATTTCTTACACAACAGCCAGCCATTTAACACCCGCAACAAGCAAGGAAATGCACTCATGAGACTTGCTGTAGAAAAATCTTCACTGATTTATTTCATGCAGACTACAACATACATTTTAACATTTCAGTGTCACACGAGACTTTCATCAGGACATTTGTGACCACACAGATATTCAGTAAATGACCAGTACAACAAGCTCCAATGTTAAACATTACTTGCCCATCATACTTGTGTCATTGGAACCTAAAGTTTCACACAAAGATTTGCATAGATGAATTTAGTAGATTACTAGATTCAACCCCTTAAGGACCAAACTTCTGGAATAAAAGGGAATCATGACATGTCATGTGTCCTTAAGGGGTTAAAGGTGTATTAACCATAAGTGTCAAAATGCATGCAGACTGTATAACTTCAATCACCATACCCAACCTAAATCAGTAACTACTCCAAATAGGGCTGATAACAGGATCTTCTTGCCTGACCTTGATAGATAACTTCTTCAGTGGGCTAATTTAGGTGAGTTCTATCGTCCTTTTGCACTGATATTTGTAAGAGGAACCATTCCTGTCTGTAATATTGACCTTTATGAGAGAGTGTGAGTGTTATAATCTCCATACTGCTATCCTCACATTTATACTTTTAGAAGTCACATGACAAATGGGCACCTCAACTTCTGTCATCATAGTTTTGAACAGTTCACCCGCATAAGCATCCTAATTGTCAAATAGCCTACCTGATTATCACTCAAACAATGATTGTCAACATCAAAGGTGTAACAAACCAAAAAGTAATTTATTTCCTTTTAGCGTGCTGTAGTATGATTGTTCTGTTGCTCTTTATCTTGAGAATTGTTTAGGATCTTCCTTGTGTTTTGTTTTTTCTTGTCAGTGGCCCACAGATTCCACCACTACTCCGTCCAAAGAGGTATCTGTTGGTTCTCGTTTTGTAGGACTCATGGCTGTCCTGACTGCCTGCTTCTCAAGTGGTTTTGCTGGTGTCTACTTTGAAAAAATTTTAAAAGAAACAAAGCAGTCTGTATGGATACGGAATATACAACTCGGTGGGTTTTCTGTTATTTTTGAACAAAGTCTGCCTTGTTTTAAAAAAAAACTGTTTCATAGATTAATATTGCTTTATCAATATTCCTTTTTATGAAATAACTCTGAGACCACAGAATTTACTTCACATTTAACAAGCGCTAAATGATTCTTCCTGGTTAAATATTTTGATATTCTTGTAATCTATTGAAATATGTTTCATAGAAATAAATAAAAATCTAAAATGAGTAATGTGTGCAAGTAGTATTCAACGATCAAAAAATAAAAACTTAAAGGGAAACCCCAGGCACACTTCTGCCCATTGGAGTGGTCTGGGTGCCAACTACCACCACCTTTAACCCTGCAAGTGTAATTAGTGCAGTTTTTACAAACTGCAATAATTACCTTGCAAGATTAAGTCCTCCTCTAGTGGCTATCAGACAGCCACTAACGGGATTTCTGTGTTCTTAGAACACGAAAAGTGTTTGAAATGATGCTGGACGTCCACACGCTATGCTTGAGGACATCCAGCATCGCCAGAAACCCCATAGAAAAACATTGAATAATGCTTTCCTATTGGGAAGTGTGTGCATTACGACTCCCCCACCGACATCAGGAGTGTGGGCGGAGCCTGACCCTGCGCCGAGGGACATCGGCGCTGGATTCAGGTAAGTCACTGAAGGGGTTTTAACCCCTTCAGCTATATGGGATATGTTTTCCTGGAGAGTCCCTTTAACTGCACAGATCCTAGCAGTCATTTAACTTATATACTGGATTCGGTATACGGTAGTGCCATAAATGTCAATATTCAATGTCCATCATATAAAGAAGTAGGGAAGGGTAAAGTTAAGTAGAAGAAAAGGAAGTGACGTCTTAAGAGTTCAATAGGGTATTAAGTTATTTTTTCTTTATCTTAAAAATGTAGTTGCACAAATATAAGGCTTGACCAGTTTGTTTACTGTTCTTTTCACCCTTCATCTTTACCGACTGCTCCTACCTTTCCATATATCTTGTATAAACATTAAAGCAATAATGCCCCATACAAGTGAATTCTGAAGAGTAGGGATGTGTGACGACTTATTTGTTTCTTGGTGCATGGTTTGTAAATCTTTCTTGCTTTTCCACAGGATTCTTTGGTGGGATCTTCGGCCTGATGGGAGTGTTTATTTATGACGGAGAGCGTGTCTCTCAGGGGGGCTTCTTCCAAGGATACAACAATCTTACCTGGGCAGTTGTAGCTCTTCAGGTAATAAATGTTTAATGTCATATTACTTTCTAAAGGTCTGGCAACCAAGTAGTGTCCGATAACCCACCGAAAGGGCGGGTGGGAATAATACTCTCCTCCATGTCATTAATAAAATCATGACTTTACGTCATGTTAATAGTAAAATATTGCAATTTTATTAATGACAAAAGGGCTCCTATTATGTTAGTTTAAAGCTGAGGTACCACCTGAGAAGAAAAATGGTCAATTGGACGGAAATAGAAATCCCGAAACGTAGATTCATGGGATCAATCCACCATTCTCAGAATATCGTCAAGGCGACAATCAATCCTCAGGACCCCGCACAGAATGAGCTGAAAACATAGAAGTATCAATCTCTGTCACAGATAGAAGGTCCGTATCCAACAGGCCATAGTGGGTGTAGAAACTGGAAGATGAGTTGTACGAAATGAAATAAACAATTGATGTAAGTTGGGTGATCTCGATATCTGTGTACGATCAAGGTAAGATCGCAAACATGCCACCGGGCATAGATTAGGTCTGACAGAGTATCTCGGGTAGGAGATAGATTTCATGGCTGATTTAGTCCTATGAGAAATGTTGAACGATACTCCTTCTGTTGTGAAGGATATTGCAGTGCAATCCAAGGCTCTAACATCAGATATCCTCTTACAGGAGAGCAAACACAGAAGCATAAGCTGTTTCCAAGTCAGATGTTTCAAGGACAATTTATCATTCAGCAGCCAGGAGTCCATGAAGGTCAACACCACATTGACATCCCAGAACAAGGAGTATCTTGCTTGTGGGGGTCTAGTAAACCTCTGATGCCTTTTAGCAGCCTACAAACGAAAGCATGTTGTCCGATCGGGGAACCATCCAGACCTCGGTGACCTGCAGAAACAGCCTAAACATTAATTGTGCGATAAGCCTTCCCCGATTCAAACAGCGTTGTTAGGTAATTGAGTATTGCATTCAGAGAGGCAGAAAGTGGATCCAATGACCTTTCCACGCACCAGCCAGCCCATACTTGCCTTGCGGAGCAGTAGGCAGATCTGGTCCCCGGGGCCAAGGCACTGTCCAGGAGTTCCGTAATTGACTGTGGAAGGTTTGCAAGTGTCCAGGGACTCCAGAAATTAACCATGCCGTGAGTTAAAGTAGACCCTGATCTATCAAGCTGTGCGACTTCCCATCCGGATCTAGAAGAAAGTCCGGGACCATCAGTAGCAGACGCAGGAAATCCAAAGACATTTCCAGAAGGCGAGGGAACCAAGGCTGTGTTTACCACATTGGAACCACGATCACCAGAGAGCAGTCGTGTATGTATAGGTAAGACCACGTCCGAGAGATAAGGTTGAACGGAGGGAAGGCATAATGATGGGACAGCGGCCACAGTAGTTGTGTGTCCAGCCTGGATGCGAACAGGTCGACAATCCGCAGACCCCACAATAGTTCCAGATGTCTGAAGATCGAGTGAGCAGATGCCAGTCCCCCGAATCCTCCAGGTATCTGTAATTCCAATCCGCCCATGCGTTGTCCAAACATGGATACATTGTTGTGAAGACAGAACTGCCAGAAGTCCTTTGCTAGGTTCACCAACAGTTTGGACTTCGTGCCTCCCATGTGATTGATATAACGTACCGCCGACACATGTTCCATGTGGAGCAGGATACAACAATTTCCTATAGTCGGTGAGAGACTGAGAATGTTGAAAGACCTCGCCAGCAATTCCAGACAGTTGATGTGGAGTCTGGATTCGTCCGTGGGCCATCAGCCACCTGTGGAAACGTTCCCGCAACGCGCTCCCGAGCCATGTAAGCAGGCATCAGATTTGATAACAATGTCCGGAGTGGCCCAGAAAATCGCCTGACCGTTCTAAGCTTCTATATGGTCAAGCCACCATGACAGTTTTTCCCGTAATTCCACATCCTCCATCCGTTGGGATTCATAAGAAAAGCCTGTCCATAAATAGAAGCCTTTTCAAACATTGCAAAGCCCGGTAGAGCAGAGGACCCGGGAAGATCGCTTAGATTGATGCAAGCAGACCTATGATCCGTGCCAACTAACATATGGAGAGGAACATAACCCAGAGGGCGCGCCTGACCTCCTTCTTGATGGCCTTCATCTTGGCTTCCGGAAGAAATAGGAACTGGGAGACTGAGTCGATTTCTAACCCCAGAAATTCTATCTTCTGCACCGCAGTCACAATGGACTTTTTCCATTTTATGAGGAAACCCAGATCCTCAAGCGGTTGCATGGTCAATTGCAAGTGACCAAGGAGCTGATCGGGTGAAGTGGACATGAGCAGGATGTCGTCCAGGTAGATGATCAACCAGATTCCCCATGCCCTGAGGAAGGCTACCACCGGCTTCATGACTTTGGTGAAACACCAGGGAGCCGAGGAAAGTCCAAAGGGTAGACAAGTAAACCTCCAATGCTGTCCTTGCCACGTGAAGTGCAACAGATCCCTGTGCTCCTTTATTATGTGGATTGTTAAATATGCGTCCATGAGGGCCAGTTTGACCAGCCAATCCCCATGTTGGAGCAGGTCCCGGAGACTGAATGCCTTCCATTTTGAAGTGCTGGTAACGCAGGAATGCGTTGAGGTTTTGCAGATTTATCACTGGGCGAACACCTCTGCCTTTTTTGGCAACAAGGAACAGGTTGCTTGTATGCCCTGGAGTCCCAAACTGGGCCTCTTGAATCGCCCGTTTGGAGTGTAGTTCCATAATTTCTGCAGAGATGAGATCGGCTTGATCTTTGGGTAGTGACAACTTTGAACACAACTTAGGAAAAGCTGGTTCAGGTGGAAATGGTTTTCAATCACAAATTTTTCCCCACCATAACCTTTTTGATTTTTGCTTCCTAAGCATTACCAAGCCTCAATAGCCAACTATAGTAACAAACCTCATGCTGATGAGTTGCATTAAAGCGGCACTGTCATAGCCGAATCCCGTTTTGTTTTGTTTTTTAACCCCCCTCCCGACTCCACTACATCTGACTGACCCCCTAAGCCCCCCATATTACCTATTTTTTTTATTCTTTATTTTCCTTCCCGATCTATATTCACGGTGCTGCCATCTTTGTGTGGGTAGAGGAAATCCCTGTGGGACACGTCATCTGCCCATACTAGACAGACTGTGAGATTACCGCACATGCCCAGTGAAACACCTGGACATGCGAACGGTAATTTCATCTATTCATTCATTCGTCAGATAGACGAATGAATGGATATTTCAGACGAACAAACAAACATGGAGTATCAGTGTTTGTTTGTTCGTGCAGTTTATTACACGGAGGGAGCTAACGGCGCGCAGCTACCTCCTTGTAATATGTAAAGATAGAAGCGGCAGGGAGCTGTGCCCCCCAGTTACCCCCTCACTCTATGGGGGGTCAATATGACCCCCGTATTAGCATAAAATTAAAATCTCCCGAATGCCCCTACTCGCTATACCGAGTTCGACGGGTATGATGGTTTTTTATTTGGCCTTTTTTGGGGCTGAAAAATTAAGATTTTAGAAAAAAGAAGACGTCAAATGGTAAGTTAAATTTTTCTTTACAGGTTAGTTATTTTATTCCCCCCTCGCCATTTTTTTAGGGTGAGGGGGTAGGTAGGGGGTTACTTTTTTGGGGGGGGGTGACTAGGGGCTTGGGGACCCCTAGTCACCTTTGTTGGGGGGGGTGGGGGAATTTGTCTTAGGGCCACCACCCACCGCCCAGGGGTGGGGGGGGAGAGACAGTAGGTCCCCCCCCCCAATTGTAATTTATGGCCCCCACCCACCGCGCAGGGGTGGGTGCCGGGGGGGAGGAAAGTTGGTGTCCCCCTCATTATCTTTATGGCCCCCACCCACCGCTCAAGGGTAGGGCCTGGGGGGGAGGACAGTAGGGTACCCCCCATTGTAATTTATGGCCCCCACCCACTGTGCAGGGATGGGGGCCGGGGGGGGACAGCAGGTTATCTTTATGGCCCCCACCTGTTGCACATGGGTGGGGGCAATAGGTTTGTTTATTTTTGTTTTGTTTTTTTACAGTGAGCAGCCACAGGCTGCTCACTGCTTACTAGACATGCCCCTACTCGCAGTATAACGAGTAGGGGCAGATCATGTACTAATACTAAGTAATCTTTACTTAGTATTAGTAAATGTGGCTGAAAGACCAATTTAGGTCTTTCAGCCTTTTGGTAGATAACTCCCTGATACCGTGGGAATTAAGGAGTTATCTACTAAGCGGCTGCAAGATGCAGCCACAGCACGAATTGAATCGGCGTTTCATTCATTTAAATGAAATTCCGATACGAATAAAGTGCCGAATTGAGTAATAAAAGAAACGATCATACTGTTCACATTCAGTTAGAACGCAATTCGGCAGTTTCATCTAAAATGACAGGGAACACTGAGGAAAGGTAAGAATTATGGGAAAATTGCTCTGACCAGCGGAAATGAAGTACACTTTGCTCCTCTGCTGGTCAAAGCTGGTCAAGCGGAGGAAACCTCCATAAGGCAAAGAGTCCCTCCTTTGTCTTATGATTATAAAGAAAACTAAAGAAGACAGGAAGAAAAGAAGAACATATCCTGAGAGAGTGGGAGAAGAGGAAGAGATTGAGGAAAGGTAAGTTCGGCATGAAAGTGCCGCTTTAACAATGAAACAGCTGTCCATGAGTGGTTCACGGGCTTTGCATATTTTCCTAAGTTGTATTTCAAAGCTGTTGTATACAGCAAACACCGACTCAAAGGTTTACATATGCCCACCCAGAATCCTTTGCGGTAGTAACATCACTGCAAATTTGTGATTTCTGTGGGAAAAGCAAGTCTTGTGGCTTGACTGGTGTGCAGATTTATGTTTAATATTGTAATAACTATCCACAGACTTCAGGTAGGAAGGGGTTTTCAATCACAATTTTTTCCTGACCATAACCTTTTTGGTTTCTGCTTCCTAAACATAGATATAAATACTTATCTAATCAATACAGAATGAAAACCGGAGTATACTTAGTTGGTCTGAGAGAGCAGCAAAGAAAGAGGAAGTTGATGGCTAGTTCAAGACCCTTTTATAGACTGTTCCTGTATCCTGATTGGTTGCCCTGTTCCTAGGCAGATTTGTTATATTGATCTTTTATTCGAGTATATACTTTTTCTCTTTGCTGCTAAGGGAAAATAAAGAAAGAGAAAGCATAACAGGAGCCTCCATGTCAATAATAAAATCATAGTTTATACACTACATTTCCCTAGCTATTAAAGACTAAATGTTTGTCAGTAGAAATGTCGCCAATTTATATCTTCATTGCTAAGATTAGCTATTGTTTGCATTTTCTTTTCAAACTATTTTTATTGAACAGTATTTAAAAATTAAAAAATCACAATTTGTTATATAAAGAAATCAAAATGTAACAATAGAAACATGAGTAGAAGGGAAGGTGAAAAAAATTACAGATCAAAACGAAATTAAAAAAAAACAGGAGGGCATGGGTACTATCCAAGTGCACAATAATAAAATGGTGGATTTGTTCCTGTGAAAATTATAATACAGAGAGTAATATAACCAATTGTATGTCTAAATATATTGTATATCAATATGTAACAGGGCATATGGAATTGTCTACCGGAGAAACTCTATATTTATATCATTTTTCCAAGCGTCCCAATGAAACTGCAAATTCACCTTTTGAATTTGCACCTACCATGATTTTATCTAATTTACTTGATGTCTTATTTAGATTTTTGAATAAACCCACCATTAGAGATAATGTTAGAATTAACGGATCTATCTTTTCAATGAGTGAATGTATTCCCTGCCAGGACAGCAGTTAGGGGGCCAGGTTCCACAGGTATATAATATTGTAGTGATTTTCTATATGGTTGGAACACTGTGCTGTGCTATCCCTTTGAGAGATGTGAATGCAAGCCATTCCTCCAGGACCCATTGCAGACCTAGATCTTTTTCTCCACGCCTTCCCAACCCTTCATGTTCTGTAGAACCACTAATTTAACTCTGCACATTTTGTTCCTCCACGTAAATCCAAGAGGATCCAAATGTATCTTCTTAAAAAATAAAAAATAAAGACAAGGGAACTTTAAGGGGATAGATCTTCATTTTGATAGAAGCTATCCTCCCCAACCAGGATAACTCCAGTTCAGACTATTTAAAAAAAAAAAAAATTTTTGTATATTCTAAGATGTTTGTGGAATTCTTTTCCCATGATTCTTAGATATCCCTTTAGTTAGAAAAGTGTTGCATTTTTAAAGGATGGGTATAGACATTAAAAAAGATAACTGCTTAGAGGGTTCATCTACTTAGCTACAACTACAGAGGGCATAAAAACTGCTACACCCTAGTATCTAAAACACTTGGCTCACCTTGGCACAACAGTGAATATTATTATGGATATTCCTTTCACTTACCTGCCCAAGAATACTGCTTCAACATATTGCGTATTACTTTGAAACCTACTATTGGTCTTTTATACATGTTTATTTGAATAGTATTGTTGGAAAGTTGTTTTCTGAGTCTTTGGGTCTCTTAATTGAATAGACATCATTCGGTTATCAATATGATAAGTTCGCCTGAAAGGTTAACATCTTCACCATCTGCAGAAAAGAAACCTAATTTTCCTAAATATATTTTGTGTTCCTAAAACTTCCACAGTCATGTGTAGGAAAAAAATACATGCTGCCTTCTGACTCTCTAAAATGAAATCCTTTTTGAATAATTGAAATTTATGAAGTGTTCCAATGATCCACATTAATATCTTTTTATTTATATCTCACTTCATTAGGCTTAAAATTCCATTTTTATTACAGAAATACACTGCAATTCCTGATTATGTTGGATAGGAAAATAACAAGACTAGAGTTTTTCAAGCCAAGTTTTGGTGTTTAAATACCTTTAGTGGACATGGTTGGCTTCATAACGACACTCTGGGAGAGCAAACATATGAAAAGAACACAAAGTAATGGGCAGCACAGGATGAATAGGGGAACATTTTGTATAGTTAGGCTTGCCAGAGTCAAAATAAGCCATAACGATCACATTAAAAAAGAAAGCGAAATCTATTTTACCAAGTTGTTTTTTTTGTTTTGTTTTGTTTTTTCCACTCAATTCTTTGTTTCCATGTTGGAAACATTGTTCAAATTCCCCCTGCTACTGGGTATCAATGAGCAGTGTTTGCACTTTGTATGTTTAACAGTCTTAATAATAGGGCCTTAACAGTTGTTATATTTCCTTAAAATTGACATGCAGGGATATGATTCTAGTTTATCTTTCTGTCTCTAATTCCTTGTGTTGTACCGGTAAAAGCTAAAAAAAAAAAAAACCTAAATAAAGATTCTTTTAAAAAAAACAAAAACTGGCCCTTCCAAGGTTAAAAAAAAAAAAAAAAAAAAGTATAAAAATGCAAAACGTAAAACCCACCTTATTCTGCTTGTTCCAGAGGAACGTAACTATTAATCAAACAAGTAGTACAATCTTTCAGGGTGGGGGATAACATATCCATTAAGCATCTGTGAAGTCTGCTGTTGTCAGCATATCTATGGTAAACCACATATTTTACTTCATGAAAAATTCTGATGGTTTTATTTAGAATGTAGCCTAAAGTTAAAAAAAAAAAAAAAAAACAGCTTTAGGCCTGGCATCTGCAAGTGTTTTATGCCTTATCAAACATTATTTATACAGCATCATTCAGTAAATAGCAATTTTTAGATTATGAGCTAGTAATGCAACTCAAAGTAGGTGGAACTGACACTTATGCAACTTATCTGCCGAAAGCCCTTGGAAAATTCCGGTTTGCTATCTGTGAGTTTCAATGTGCTAAATTATAATTCAATCAGGGAATTCATTAAGTAGTTTGTGAAGGATCTGGGTAGAAATTTATATCCTTACACTGACAGCAAGATACCGCTCTGCTTGCTTACAAGATCAGCAGGGCTAGATTTCCCGTTGGGTAGAGTAGACACCTGACCACTAGGGGTGCCTTTTCCCAGCATTTATAATGTTCATTTTTGAGTTTAATTGGGCTGATTGGTAGAAATAATTACCAGGAGCCTTGATCAGTGATCACTGTACTCCAGTCAGCTACCTATGCTGGATATCAGAGCTACAGGGTGTAAAACTCAGTGCTGTCCCAGCTTCTGCAGTGTCTGTGTGTGAGGCTGAACAGGTAGAGATAATTTCCTATCTGCCCACTAGTAACGTCTGATACAGGAAATGCATTGCAGGAGGAACAGGGAAAGCTCTGAGTGATGCACACTGTATAACTACTCCTGCAGCTGTAATATCATCATCTGACTGGTCTACAGAAGACATACGATGAGTACTTTTCAAATAACCATTCAAACGGCACACTGAAAATAAATACCTAATCCTATGTATAACTCCTCTTAAACAGTAAATTTGAAGGAACACTATAAATTAGGAACACAAATGTATTCCTGACCATATAGTGTTAAAACCACCTCCCTGGCCCCCTTTGTCTCCCTAAATATAGTAAAGTCTTACTTGTATTTAAGTCTGCAGCTGCTGGCTCTGCCTCTGACCTGTCTGCTGACATCATCAGAAGTGGTGGTCTGAGCCAATCACAGTGCTTCCCCATAGGATTGGCTGAGATTGTCAAGGAGGCAGATCAGGGGCAGAGCCAGCACAAGTCAAACACAGCCCTGGCCAATCGGCATCTCCTCATAGAGATGCAGTGCATCAATGCAACTCTATGAGGAAAGTTCAGTGTCTGTATGCAGAGGGTAGAGACACTGAATGGCAGTGCTGTTCACTGTGCAGCACGCCCCAGAAAGCACCTCAAGCAGCCATCTGAGGAGTGGCCAGTGGATGTATCACTAGGCTGTAATGTAAACATTGCATTTTCTCTGAATATACAGTGTTTACAGAAAAAACGCCTGAGTGGAATGATTCTACTCACCAGAATAAATGCAATAAGCTGTAGTTGTTCTGGTGACTGTAGTGTCCCTTTAACTTAACTCGAGCCCAAAACTCAAACCTTAACAGCCCTTATACTATAACTTTAACCCCTCTCAAGCTATTAATCTTCTTAACCCTAAACACCCTATGTAATATAACTCTGACATTAACCCCTCTCTCATTTTAATCCCCCCTTAACCATAACCACTTCTAACAGTATCTTTAACCCTGCATGCATTTACACAGCTCCATACACACTATATTCACACATTAAAGCACAATACATTACAAGCAGAACACGAATATACACATACATACATTAATACATAGAGAGTTGTCCAACATGAATGTGGGGTTTTTTTTTTGTTTTGTTTTAGTCCTACAATGTCTAAATTCATTATACTTATTGTATCTGCCTAATTTTGGCATTGGGGAGCAGGAGGTGCCTTAGAGTTTTGTGCATAACTGGCACCCTGACCTGTAAATTCGGCCCTGACTATGAGTAGCCTACTAGAATTAGCAGTGCAGAGGAGTTTAGTTAAAAAAAAAAAATAAAAAAATTAAATCTGCACTGCATAATACTCCAAGCACTGCCATGTGTGCTTGGTCATGTAAAGGAGGGTAAAATAATGTGCAATGTATGCTATACCTATGCAAGGACATCCAGGTGTACAGTCTTAATTCAAATATAAAATACTCTTTAGAATTAGAAGGGGGGAAAAGTGACCTACCACTAGGTAACTATATAGTATCCAGAATTTTATTTTTTAAATGCCTCTTCATGATGAACTGGAATAGTTTTCATTTAAACACTGTTGATTTATTGATCTTTGGGTTTTATTTTATATTTTTTTTTTAATTAGGTGTTTTTGAGGAGGGGGGTTAAATATTTTCTTTATTGCATTTTCAAATTAGATTACATCCATTGCAAGACGTACATATAAGTTAACATACAAACAAATATAGTGTGAGATGTGTACAATACAATTTTGAGCATACTGCTTAATATAGAACATATTTGCTTGATACAATAAGACAGTGATAGCCACAAGAGGATTAAAATAATAAGGATCTGTTAATACTGAGATTTTAATTATTATTATTATTATTTAAATGTTTTATTAGCTCTTTAGGCTTTAGTTGAGCTTAGTCCATTCTAACCGAATTAGTTTGCGTAGAGATGTATTATTGGCCTTTCTCTTAAAAATTATTTTCCATTTGGCTTTGGTAGTTGATTTGTTTAAATATATCTGACCATAATATAGTTGTTGATAATTTTCTGTTGGAGACTACACCTTGGGAAATCCAAATAAAAGAGTAATAATTCAGGGGATAACAATACATTTTGATTAAAACATTTTGAAATAATTTTTTTTATTGGTTTTAATTATTATATAACAGTGCCACCTAATGTGGAAAGGTCTCATATAGTACCATTAAGTGCAGTGCAGTATTGGTTACTTCATGCTTAATGTGACACTCTGGGTTTTGGTTTTTTTGTGTGTGTGCTCTTAAAAGAACACTCCAAGCTGACATTTAGCATTTTTGAAAATAATTTTTTTTTATTTTTTTTTTTTTATGTATACGATAGGTGCATTTGAGGGGAGGAAAAGCAATTAATGAAATATGCAAAAAAAAAAAAAAACATTTTTAAATATCTGGTTTATGATCAGTTGCTTTAAGTATGTGATTTGCAGGAAAGGGAACAGAGTAATTTTGTACCAGGTCCCAGTATTTTATGCTTTATATTTTAGGTACCATATTATTGGTTTACTTTCAAACTTTATAAATATGAATCAGGATGAACTTTAATTGGTCATGTCAAGCATTGATAGAATATGGCTATGTTTTATTCAGACATATGAGAGGGTTTTGGAACACTGCTGCCACCATAAAAACTGTATTTATTTTTTTTATTTTTTTCCTCCCATCTCTTTTTTAGGCTCTAGGAGGGCTGGTGATTGCTGCTGTTATTAAATATGCTGATAACATCTTGAAAGGTTTTGCCACATCTCTCTCCATCATACTGTCTACGTTAATCTCTTACTTCTGGCTGCAGGACTTTGTCCCAACTAGGTATTTTCTTTATATTTTCAACCATTGCTAGGGGCTCGGGTTCATTTGTGATGCATTGTCTAATTTTTATCATTCATCTATATATAGCCATTACTTGTAATGGTCAAACATTATTCATAGTAAGTAGTTAAAACTGGTTAAAGGAACATTCCCAAACACCATATCCAGTACAACTCTCTATAGTAGCTATGGTGTTAGGAAAACCCTGACATCCCCCCATTGTAAATAATAAACCACGGTTAGAACGGTTTGACTTCAACTTAGATGATCCCCTCCTTCACTATCAGTGGAGAACTAAAAGCTCCTAAGTAGCTCATGGTAAGTCGTCAAAGCATTTACCAACAGTTTGACACTTACCTGGCTCTGACCATTACACACACTCCTTCCAGACTGCTATGATGAACTTGGATCATCATACTTTGGCATTAACATGATCAATTTTTGCAACTTTGGATGTCATTCATATAGGAACTATTCCTGTTAAATGCAAAAAATAGGACCAATTTCAAGAAATAATTGTATTAATGCATTTTCTTTTGTACCCTGCAGTGTTTTCTTCATTGGTGCTCTTTTGGTAATTTCTGCCACGTTTCTTTATGGCTATGATCCCAAACCGTCAGCAAATCCCATTAAAGCATGAGGACCGGAGTGCAATACTTTAAGGAATCCCAGTGCCCTTTCTGTTCCATGTTTTGAGAGGAACAGACCAGGGTAAAGAGGACTAACCAAGACACAAATGCTGCTGAGCGCAACGGGACCACAAGATGAGATGCGGCTTTATTCTTGTGTGATGGACGCTAATTTATTTTAAAATTAAATTTATCAAAGTGATATATATTTTGTTTTAATACTTGAAGTAGGGGGTGTCAATAATAGGGATATTTGTGCAACTCTTCAGATAAAATCATTTTATTTTTTTTTGTACACCTACAAATATTTAATCTTTAAAAATTGATTTTTTATTGTTGCTGTACTAAGATTCTCACCTACATATGACCCCAGATAATGTTTCAGATCGATGTAAGAAAATACTCTACTACCATTTTATACTGAAAAGAGCATTAATCCTCAAGATTTGTTTTTTATTTGGGCAACTGAAAGTCTCACTGTCTTTGTACAACAAACTAAAACAAGGGAAATAAATATGTTTTTATCAAATATGGTTTGTCTTTATCAAATGTATTATTTAATCCTGTAGATACTACAGGCACCAAGGCCACTTCATCCCAATAAACTGTGGTCTTGGTGCCATGTCCATCTGTTTATCCCTGCAACTGACATTGCTGAGTTAATATCCCGCTATATGCTTAAGCATATAAACTGTTCTGTTTCAATCAGATTGTTTCACAGAGACCAACTGATTGGCACAGCATGGTGTTTTGCCGAACACGTACACTAGCCTCTTCTTTATGGGGATACATTGGATTGGATTTACATTGATGATCTCCGCCAAACAGGCAGAGCGGCAGGATGGAGACCAGTACGGCAAGGACTGAAAAATGGGTAGTTAGGAATACGTTTATATTCAAACACTATAGTGTTCCTTTAAAAATGGAGAATTTTAAGGTATTCTGTGGTCCACAAAACAGATATGGATAGCAAGTCAGTTCAGATACAGTCATTACACTGGTATATACATAGTTTGTACTAAAAAAAACATTTCCAGCAATTTCATAGATTTAAAAAAAAAAAAAAAAAACTTGAACAGAAATGGATTGAAGGGGCTGCACTCTTGCCTTTCAACAATTCGTGGTGTACATTTCATTTTAGACCAGCATTTAAAAAAATAATAATAATTGATGTATAATGAAAGAAACTAGGTGACATCTATGGTGAAGATATTAAAAGGCTTTTAAGGAATAACATTGAGTTGTGCATTTTGACCAATCACATCATTCGGACTAATCAGCATTATTTTATGATTGATTGACAGATCATATCACCGTGATATTGTTTTATGACATCCAGTTTTAGCTAGTGTCAGTATGTGATGTGCCCCATGAGAGCAGGGAGAGGTCAGGGGAGGAGAGGATAGATTGCATCAAAACCCAAAAGGGTTACAAAGAGAGAATGGAGCATAAAATAACATTTTTGGGAACACCAACCACATGTAGTGTGGAGGAGGTGACACCAGAAGTTTGTGGGGTGCTAGACTTTACTCAATGGATTTCTCTCTGCCCCCTCAGTTGTAGTAATGAATAGGAATATGTCTACATGGCACTATTACATTCAGAATAAGTGGACAGAACGGATATTTTAAAGACAATAAAATAGTTAAGATGACTGGAGGCGATTACCTTTTTTCACAGTAATGGTGTACAATATATATAAACTTCATATATTTTACTACTCTGCATGAACTGACATGCTGGGTTTGGTTCGTTATACAGTGGATTTTTTTTCTATTGAATTATCTATTTTTTTTATTTTTAAATTGGTATTGCTCACCCTTCATCCTCGGTTTCTTTTGCTAAATATGTTTCTATTTATCTGTCAGTGAGACCGCATACCAGCCCTTGCTTGATTACCATGAGTGGTATTTGAGGATCAGATTTGTGGCTTTATCCACTTCTAGATCAAATAATCTCTCTATCTACATATATTAAGACTGTATTTGTCTACTCTGGTTGAAGAGTCACTTGCAAGCTCATCCACACTTCAAATGTGCCCAACCTCAGGTCTCCTCGTAATGGGCTTCAAGATGGATACTTGCCTGATTCACTGATGGATTTTGCATGTACAGCAGAATGAGAAGCTAGGTGGTAGGGTTGGTCTGGTGTTGCCTCGGGACAGTATATCTACCTCCACAAAACTGCAGTCAGTTGGAACCTAAAGTGGAGAGGCATCTCTTATAGCCTTCTGTTCTTCTCTCTTTCATTATCATGACAGAATACACAACATCAAACACACTCACAGACATGGTCGTAGGAACCAGGGAGGATGGGGGGACGAATCCCCCCCCAGCAAGTCATGCGGGGGGGACAGGTTATGGGGAATTCCCCCCAGCTCCGCCGGCCCCCCTCATGCTGCAGCCGCCCAAGCGCTCTGTAGAGAGCCTCAGGCAGCTGCAGCTTTGCCCGCCCGGCGCAGCATGGGGAGAGGGGCTGATAGGAGGGAGCACTCAGCGCTCCCTCCTGTCACTCCCTCTCTGTAGCGTGGCTGAGCCCTGTATCATGGTCCTCGGGTACAGGGGGCATCTGTCTCCTGTACCCGGCTGGACTAACAGGAAGTACACACTGAGTGTTCACTTCCTTTTAGTCCGGCCGGGTACAGGAAACAAAAGCTCCCTGTACCCGCGGACCATGATACAGGGCTCGGCCACGCTACAACAGAGGTGAGGGGGAGAAAGATTGACATCCATCACACACAATGCATTCCTTACACACACTCAATGCACCCATTACAGATGCACACCTTGCAGCCCTTACACATACAAACACAGATTCACACAATGCATTCCTTACACACATATCAGGACATCCCCTACACACTCCACCCCCTGTGAACAAACTCATTGGTGGAACATGAAGGTGGACCCTGGGACCCAGACCTTGAGCTGTGTAAAGGGCGCCCAAAAAATAGAGCTGCTTCCCGTTCTCCCAGAACATTGATTTTTGTGACCACAGTTACAAACAGCCTCCAGAGAGCCTGTTCTACCAGTGGAGCCAGACTGCAGCTAGAGCCCATCATCATCCTCATCTGGTTGTAAGTAGGCAATCTAGCATATTATTCGTGGCACTAATCTCTAATTTACCTCACATTAAAGAAACACTATAGTCCCCAGAACCACTGCAGCTTAATGTAGTGGTTCTGGTGTCTATAGCCTGTCCCTGCAGGCCTTTTAATGTAAACAGGGCGGCACTCGAGCACTGGTGTTAGCTAACATGGCAGATCATATGGGTGGGGCATTGTGATGTCACATGGGGGGGCGGCGGCGGCGGCAAACTTTACTTTTGCCTAGGTCGGCAAAAATCCTTGCACCGGCCCTGGCCGAGTGTCACGTGACTACCCGGCGCTCAGTCTGACACTGCGCCTGCCAGACATCCAAAGGTCCTCCTGCTATGTCAGGTAAAAGGGGGGACAAAGGTAGAAAAATAATTGGAAGGGTTTAGGGGGGCTACTAATAAGGATGGGAGGAGGGGGGAGGTAGAAAAATTATTGGAAGGGGTTAGGGGAGTACTAATATGAATGGAAGGGGTAGGGTGGGTTCTAATATGCATGGAAAGGGTTAGGGGGTACTAATATGCATGGAAGGGGTTAGGGGGGTACTAATATGCATGGAAAGGGTAGGGGGGTTAATATGCATGGAAGGGGTTAGGGGGGTACTAATATGCATGGTAGGGGGGTTAATATGCGTGGAAGGGTAGGTGGGGTTCTTTTGTGCGTGGAAGGGGTAGGGTTGGTTCTAATATTCATGGGAGGGGTAGGGGTGGTTCTAATATTCATGGAAGGGGTAGGTGGGGTTCTAATATAAATGGAAGGGGTAGAGACGGGTCGTAAAATGTATGGAATGCATTTCTGACAGTGTCACTAAATGGCAGTTAGGAAATGTGGTCACCCTAAGTCAGGGGCAGTATTACACAATCTGTATATGTATAAAAAAATATAAAAAGTAATCTGCAAAGTACAAAATGTTTGTCATATGTCGTGCTAAAAATTAAGCTAGGAATGTGCATGTTTTTTTATTTTTTTTAAATAATTTTTAGAATAATGATACAGACATTTTATTTCTTACATTTGTGATGATTCTTTTTTCCTCTCTATATTCAAGGGACACTATAGTCACCAGAACCACAACAGCTAAACGTAGTAGTTCTGGTGTCTATAGCACCAGAACTACCATTTCGTTAAAAGGCAGTATTTACATTACTGATGAGGTATACCTCTAGTGGACATTCAGATGGCCACTAGAGGTGCTTCCTAGTGGAGACATGAATGCCGCCCTATGAAGTATCTGCACATGTACAGCAAAGCTGCGCATGCGCACCAGAGAGCAATGACGCTTCTGAATAGAAGCGTTTTATTGCTCCCTGCTCGCACCCTCCTATTTCATCATTTTGATGAAATGGGGGGCACAGCATCAGGAGGATCCCGGCGCTGTATCCGGGTAAGTAAAACCCCTTCCCTGTAGTGACCCTTTAATGTTATTATTTAATCATTTATATAGCGACTGCAAATTCCGTAGCGCTGTACAATGGGATAAACAACTCCTAGTTTACGGAATAAGAATATATGCGGCGAGTAAAAATGCTATCCCCCCAGATTTTTTTGGGTTCCTACGCCCATGCTCACAGAGACCAAAGTGTGTAGCTGTGTGTGCATAACTAAGTGTTTCTGTATTCGCCTTTCCTTTGAGTTCTGAATCCTCTACCCTTCCTCCGTGGCTTTGGCTGCATCTTGAAGAAGAGCCTCGTGTGGGCTTCAGCAGAATTCACTGAGCCAGTGGAGTTTGGGAGATCTAAATAGGAAGTCTTACTCCATTCTCTGTGGCTGCCCTGTTTCTTTCTCTGTGAATGCCCACGCCTGTGGCAGCAGAAGAGTTTAACTATGCCAGGGCCATCTGCTTCTCTCTCAATGCGGCACTGCACCTTTAATTACGGAGTTAAAATGGAGGCTGCATTAGGGGAATTGGAATTCTGCGAACTCAATCCCATGTTGCTAGCAGCATATGACAGCCCAGTAGGCAGAAAAAAAGGGGAATTGGGGGCACACCCGGAATATGTATTGCTCAGTAGTGGTGCTGCCATAAAAACCAAAATACAGATTAAGGAACAGTGTGCACACAAAAGAACAAACCGTTATGAATTTTTCAAGGGTAGTTAAAATGCAGGGATTCAATTTTACCACGTGGCCATATTGTGTTAAGCCTGCCACCACTGTCACAGTACCCCAATATCGGTGGGTCCTACACTCATTTTACATTGGAGAGTAATGTACTAACTGTAATATTTAATGCTTAAAGGGACACTCCAGGCACCCAGACCACTTCTGCCCATTGGAGTGGTCTGGGTGCCAACTCACACTACTCCTAACCCTGCAAGTGTAATTATTGCAGTTTTTTATAAACTGCAATAATTACCTTGCAGGGTTAACTCCACTAGAGGGCACTTCCTGAATTATAGCACAGAAAACCTGTGCTAGAGCGTCGCTGGATGTCC